GCGTGGAGACGAGACATAACGCCACTGGACAGTAGGCTTTCTTTTTGTCCTCCAGCTGTGCTGGCGGATGACGGACCCGATTTGACCCTTTAACCAGCCGCGCCTTCTCCACTGCGGGCAAGAAGCAGAGCGGCGAGGCGGCGTGCCGTGCGTCCACGCGGACCAGCCCGGGCCCGCTTCCCGTAAAGCTGACTGGGGCAGATTGCACATACGATGGCTGACCTCTTGGCCTCCGCTTCCCGCCCCGAACGGCACTCACCACGGCAACGGCTGAAAGAAGCCGTCCCCACTTCCGTGCCTATTCTCTCTCTCGCTCGCTCGCTCGCTCACACTTTCCCTGTTTGCTGTTTTGTGAGTGTTTCCTTCCAGCTCCATGACGAACCGACAGTGTGGAAACGGGAAAACCCGGACATTCACTGAAGGACTCATGCACAATGTTTGGAGCTGTTATTGGGCCTCTCCTGCTTGTGTTGAGGAAGAGAAAGCGCCCGAAGAGATTGGATTCGATTCAAACCCCCCCACGTCAGTTAGATTGTTGCTTCAGATTAAAGATGTCTTGTTTGAGTTGACAGGATTGACCTTCCCCTCGGCCGCTCGTCCTTTCCCTCATCCATGCATGGAGCATTCACAGATACAGAAAGCCAAACCCACATTAACAACACAGATAGTCTGTGGGCATCTGTCAAACATTTGAGTCTGATTTTAACTAGAGGTGAAGGGTCACAGTCCAATATCATCGAACTCTCCTTTTACGGGACTGTGATGTGTGATCGTCAGCCTGCTGTGGCCTGGCTCTCCTCCTCTGCTCCTCTCCTCCTCTACTCCTCCTCTTCTGCTCCTCTCCTCCTCTTCTGCTCCTCTCCTCCTCTTCTGCTCCTCTCCTCCTCTACTCCTCCTCTCCTCCTCCTCTTCTGCTCCTCTCCTCCTCTACTCCTCCTCTCCTCCTCCTCTTCTACTCCTCTCCTCCTCTACTCCTCTTCTACTCCTCTCCTCATCTACTCCTCCTCTTCTACTCCTTTCCTCCTCTACTCCTCTTCTACTCCTCTCCTCCTCTACTCCTCTCCTCCTCCTCCTCTACTCCTCTGATCCTCTCCAAATCACTGCACATGAGACTAGAATCAGTGTGTGAATGGGAAAACGTACTAATTTAATTCCTTAAAATGAATTCAACGTTATTAGTACTTGATGCAGCTTAGAAATTCTTTCTCAGACACACGGCTGGATCTCACCAAACATGAAACACGCTGAAGCTGGAACGGCTGTAGGACACCTGCATTGAGTCAAGTGTCTTTCTGCTGGTCCTGTAAAGACATCCACCACAAAGCAATACCACTCTATTCCTTTAAAGAGCAAAACAAAAGTGTCTCAAGTCAAACGCTCTACGTGTTACCTGAACAGTTGAACGTGATGCAGTCACACTGATGGAAGTAACATCCTGTTAAATCTCCACCTTTTTTAATGGATGGCGTAACTTGTGCCAGCGCAACGTGCAGTTTGTATTTACAGGCTTCTTCACAAATTCCTCTCCTTGGCCGCTGGCTCATGTAAGGAACTAGAAGTGGAGACTGAACTCTGTCTTTGTCTCCACAGAATGATGTGTGTGTGTGTGTGTGTGTCTCACACACTTGATGAATAGAGTTTCTATTCACACGCTTGTGCAACAAAGCCACCGAGGAGTTCAAGCTACTGCTGGATATCCTGTTGATAGCACACAGGCCCATTCTTTCCACCGTGCATGTGTGTGTTTGTGAGTTAATACACAGCAGCCGTTGTACAGTTCTGCTGCTGGGTTGTGGTCGATATACAGATTCCTTTTGTGCAGCTGTGTGTGTGAGAGAGAATGATGCCTCATTCCAGTAGTACCACTGTCATTGTGTCAGACGCAGCGCGTGAGTGGCTGACGGATTCCCTCCACCAGCATTGAGGCACGAGACGCGTGACTCCTCCTTAAGACGCGGAGGTGGAAATAACTCCTTTGGCCTTTTGGAGCCTAAACGGCGGCAGGTCATGCCGATATCACCGCACCGGTACCTCCGTGTGACGGCTGACTGTTGGGTTTTAGATGATTTCCGTTTTGCAAATCAAACGTTGATCAGAGTCGTACGTCGTCCTGCAAACTGATCGATGTTTGCAACCGATTTACAAATGTACTGTTTGCTTTCATTTGCTCATCCGAGTTCAGTTTAGAGTGCAGCAATGACGGCTTCTTTTCAGTCACTGTTAGTTTATTTGCGCGCGTCTCGACTGCTGTCATCTGTCATGTGCTCAGGCGGGAGTGAGTGGGGGAGAAGAACGGGGGGGGATTCAGTTGTACGTAAGTGTGAAAGAAAAGGGGGACGAGGACAGAGGGGCCAGTGTCCACACGGCCACTTATTTTTAAAAGTCACTGTCCTTCTGGCCTGGACACGGACAGACACACAAACACACACATTGACACTCCAACACAAAAGAGCCGTGAGAGCAAAGCATCATCCACGCATCTTTTTAGCTGCAAATCTGATGCTGCATATTCAAGATATTTCAAATATTTTCCATCCAATGGTGTATTTTTCTCACAGAGGGCATGCTGTTGCAGCAGCGGGCGCAGTGCGCTTGTTTACGTGCACTTTGCACATGTAACATATCTGAAAGGCTGCCTTCCCTTTAGGGTTATTTTCCATCTGCATGTTTGTTGATTAACCTTCATGCTGGGGCCAGAACGCGACGTTACCTAAAAGGTGCTCTGGATAATGTGCTTGCTGTGGCATGTCATTCGTTCTGTGTGTGTTAATAGTAATGAATCAGGATTGAGAGTAATTCATTTGTGTTGGCGAGATGTTGCAGAATCAATCTGCCAACAATGTGCTTTTGATTTAGAATCAGAGCCCGTTGTGTGTGTTTTGTGTGTCTCATGCGTATTTGCTCGTGTGCCGTGCTGCCAGCACCCATCAAGAACACGGCTGCGCTGAGCGTTATGACATGTGTGATGTGTCTGCAAATAAGAACCAGCGAAAAAAAAAAAACCTCTCTCTCACTAATCCATCACGCCGCCCGCCAAAATGTAGAGCAGCGCCTTTCACGAGCCAAACACGAATACACACATGCAACTTTTATTTTCAAAAGTTCATGACGTGCACGATACTGAAGAGAACCTGCAGCATGAGTTTTCACCTAAACGGAAAACTGTAGCTTCTAGTGACCTCACTCTTTAGTGTGTTCACTTCCTCTTAATGACCAATAACCTTGAAATCCTTAGTTTACTGGTTTATGAACTTGGAGCTGTACGTTCTCAGGCCCATGAACCATATAAGGATCTGAGCTCATGATTTAGTATTTACTCAACCAGGCCAAATCCACTAAGGTGTGTTTTCATAATGTAGCAATGCTCTGCTTGAGGTTGATTTCATGCACATGTTTGAACCACATGCAATTTCTTTGATTAGGTTCAAAAAAGGAAAACTGGGTGACTATGGACGGCCAACATCCCGCTCTGTCTTTTCTACGGGATCTCATACACTTAAAATGACTTACTACGTAACATTTTCTGCTCAGAGAGTCTTCAATTTGAAATGTTTCTCAGTAAGTGTACGTGAAACCTCCCCCACTCCGGTTTGCAGCGGTGTTTTCCAGACATGTGCAATCATTAATTCAAGTTACTTATTAGTAAAAACAAAAAATGTTCTCCACAACTAACCCGCTAACATATAAAGCGAGAAGGAAGTTTCCATTCGATAGAAGCAAACTGCAAATGTTTGATGTAACGATGTTCAAACTGCGTGAAACTATGACAGCAGCGGTTGCTATTGGAAACCAAATGGACCAGAGGTCGTGTGTTAGAAGTGCCCGTCTCTTCAGCCTGGTTTCGATGTTCACAAAGGAGAGCGGGGGGAGCGCGGCGGCGGGGCGGCATGCGTCGCCCACAAGGTGCTGACAGGAGCTGTCAGAGGAGAGTGGCAGACGGGAGACGGAAAGGAGGAGGAGGCCAAAAATAGAGCACAGAGGAGCAAGAGGAGGCAGGACGGTGGAGGAAGATGCATCATTTTGTCACAAGGCAGCTAATTTTCTTTCTCCACCGGACATTTGCGCGGTAAAACCACAGCTTCTCCCGCCGTCTCGGAATGCGGTCTCAGTTTGGTCTTACTTTGGTTATTTTGACGCGACGGAGCCACTGTGACCGTGTGTTTCACAGAAGCTTATCCCAAGAGAGGCGATCGTGTGTGTGTGTGTGTGTGTGGCAGCAAGTGCAGAAGCTCCGCGGTCTGTGTTTCATTTCAGCTACTGGCAAGCTGCAGCAGATCTTTCCAAAAGCTCAAACACACACACACTCACACACACACAATGATTTGAATGGTGTTGTAATTACATGAACTTGGCCAATTACACTCCATTTCTACACTCACTGGCCTTTACCCACATTCGCTTGTGCAGGTTTCGCATCTCCTTCCCCTGGAAAAGAGGAGGGGGGATGCCTGCTCAGGTCGTCATACCGTCTCTTTCTGTTCTTCTTTGACCATGAAAGTGAAGGAAGAATTAAGCAAAAAGAGATGCGGGGTGCAGCTATTTGTTCCTCAACCTATGTGCTTTGTGAGGAACCATCGTTGACGTAACTGGACGGGAAGCGGGTGTCTGTTTCCCAGGAGCTCTTAGCGCCTAATGTATTATTTGAAAGGCGCTCGGCTGACGGGAATGAAGTTTTACTTTTTACAGTCCTCGACACACACACACACACGCACATGCACGCACAAGCACAAAGACCTCTGCACAAATGTAGGCGCTGTCAGCCTTCATCACTAGCACCACCCAGGGATCCACTCAGCGTATCCACCTATCTGCTTCTAGCCTCTTTCCACTGTCTCTCTCTGTTGCTTTCAGTAGCTGCATAGTGAAAGTAAAAGAAAGACCAGGGAGTGTTTGTCTCTTGCCACGGCCGTGTTGCAGGTATTTAGGACGGGTACCCAAAGTTGGAATGCAGTCTTTCATATTTAAATGACACCGTTCCTCTTCTCTCCGCTCTCTCTCAGGTCTGTCGACAGCCAAGAGGAAGTTTGCCGACTCTCTCAACGAGTTTAAATTCCAGTGCATTGGAGACGCCGAGACGGATGATGAGATATGCATCGGTGAGCTCGCCGATATGAAATCACATGTATATTCCCAGAGGAAAGCCCATTCATACACAGCAGACACTTCTGTATGGATAATTACAAAATAATGTTTTTTTCTGGATTTGGCAAAAAGCAGAAAGTCAAACTTTGCTATAAACCAAATTTAGTCCTTGAGTTGTCTGTTGTCATCACGCGATGCGCAGACACGATCAATAAGTTGATTTTTTTTTTTTTTTTTTCCTGGCGGCACCAGCCCGGTTCACAGTGTTGATCTCTCCTCGTTCTAGAACCCTTAAAAGCTTCACTTGCATCACATGAACGGCTTGATCACCGTGCCCGTGTTGCCTTCTGCTCTGATGAGAACAAGATAAACGTACGGCCGTGTGGCTGCAGCCCCTCGGTGACCCGACCCACCCACTGCTGTTGTTTGACCCACCCGAGCTATCTCTCCCCAGCAGCTGGCCGCTCGGCTGGGCTGCGCCACAATACCAATGTTTTTAGGGACACAAACACCTTTCAAATATATCTACAGGGTTTATACGGTGGGGAGAACAAGTATTTTGATACACTGCCGATTTTGCAGGTTTTCAGAAAATCACATTGTATAATTTAAAGAACATTTTTTTAGTTTTCAGTTTATTGCATGACATAAGTGTTTGATACATAAGAAAAGCCGAACTTAATATTTGCTGCAGAAACCTTTTGTTTTCAGCTACAAACATCACACGTTTCCTGTAGTTCTTTGGATTTTGGCGCACTCCCCCATACAGACCTCTCTCCAGATCCTTCTGGCTTCTACACGTCGTGTAGGTGGGAAAACCTGCAAAATCGGCAGTGTATCAAATGCTTGTTCTCCCCACTGTATATTGTAATTACTTTCTTTCAAAAAATGGAAAAAGAGGATCGCCTATGTTACTTGTACTGGGACTATTTGAGTTATTCTTCTATCACATTTTTTCTATTTAATGCGATTTAAGACTGTGTGATGGATCCGGATAAAAGCTTTGACTGCATTTTTCAAGCTTTATTAAAGGATTGTCCAAAGTAGATCCAAATCCTTTAGCCTAAAGTCCAATATTTAAGAGGAGAATGCGTGTGAGTGCATGTATGCGTGTGATTTGTACATGCCTACATTGCTATCGAAGTGGAAACTCAAACTCAGTGGGGCAGCGTGCGGTGGGGGGGGGACTTTTATCCCTGCCGCCTGGTGACAACTGCATCTTTCTGTTTGCCTTTTACTTTGCCGTCTCTCGTGACCGTTTCTCCCTTTTCCTTTTTTGTGTCGCTCTGTTCGCCGACGTGTCTGTCCTTCTTTAGCCAAGTCGCTCCAGGAGTTCGCTACGGTCCTTCAGAACCTGGAGGACGAGAGGACACGCATGGTGAGTCACCCGACACAACGGGACTGAAAATGTACATTAACCACTATAATCGTGGAGATATTTATAATACAGTACTGCTAACCTTGCCTGTGATGTCATATATTTGTGTGTGTGTGTGTGTGTGTGTGTGTGTGTGTGTGTCCAGATCGAAAATGCCAACGACGTGCTGATCACGCCCCTGGAGAGGTTCAGGAAAGAACAGATCAGTGCAGCCAAGGTGAGGAGGCGAGCATCCGCGAGACAACGGGTGACAGAATGGACTCACGTGCTGCACATTTGCTGCACATTTGCTGCACATTTGCTGTACATTTGCATTGAAACATGAATCAGTAAATCAACAAAATCCTTAGAAGGGCACTCGCACACTCGACACCTGCTGAAAACACAAATGTCAAAGAAATCCACAGTGGGAGATGTTTGAACTCTGTTTTAATGATGACTGGGATTTCTTTGCATCCTTTGACACTTTGACAGAGAACCACCAGTGACTTGGTGATTTGTAGCCACGTTATCGACATTACCAGCTCTTACACGTTACTATAGTTCCCGTATGAAACGTTTGGTCACAGCAGCTTGAGGAGAATCACACGTCTACTGCTCCTGCTCTACTGCTCCTGCTGGCCTTTTTAAAACGTTTGGAACGTATTAAAGTTTTCTTCAATGCAAAGTACGGGCGGTATTTCCTCGAGGTGTAACGATTGTAAGAATCATTCAGGGATTTATTGGGTGATCATAAAGAACCCGTTGCATGGCTTAGTTGTAAAGTTCCCCATCTCTGTCACATGTCAGCAAGGTACAAACATGTACTTTGGCCGTGTATTAAAAATATGAGAAAGTGACCACAAGCTTGTAATGATAAACCTATATTAAGCTATTAAGTATTACATTCATTATTTGTATTGAACTTTGACTGAACCATCACAACCTGACCTGGATAGTAGATTAGAGGAATACATAATCCTGCTGTTAATCCATGGGGGGCCTCAAAGGCCAGCAGGGCTCCTCATGGCAGTCAGAAGCCCGTTAACTCAATATCTACTCTGTGAATAGCAAACTGTTTTGACTTTGTATTTACCATGAAGCAGCACACTGTACACATTTGTGAAATCCCTCGTTTTCGAATGAAACACTGTTTTTAATGTTGAAATCCGCTGCTGCTCTCGCCCCCTTAGCGTTAGCCACGGCGGTTCCCCTGATTCATGCACTAGTTTATCATGCGAGTACTCTGCTAATCCGCCCTCTCAATGCAGGTCATTGTTTGATTGTACGTGGCGGGTCAGATTAAGAAGTGTACGCATAATCTGTACAGTTAGGTCACAGCCAGCGATGCGCTAATCCCAGTTTAGCCCCTAAAAGGAGTGAAGGCATCTTCGCCCGCCGCAGTCTTACCTCGTTCTGACGCAAGAGGAGTTCATGGAGAATTACGTTGGGTGGTTGAAGAACAGAAACATGTTTTAAACTGTGGTCTAGGTCATAATCTTATTCACGCAGAGGAAATTGAGAAAGAAACTTCAAGTGGCATAAGTAGCGCCGCACTGCGGTTAATACCGCCACGAGGCCGGTCCCCACGTGACGGATAGAGAGCGGAGGTGACGTATACAAACAAAACACATGATTTCTATCACCACCTGTTTCCCACTGACTGAGCCATGTTAAAGCAGAGAAGGATGATCTGATCTCCTCAGCAACTTGACACACTCACAGTTGGATCAATCGATTGGGGTTCAGAACAGCTCAGTCACTTTCAGCCCTTCGCAAGGCCGAGATTAATAATGCCGGCCCATTCATCTGTTCCTGGTGAACTTTGGTGCTGTTGTGAACTGTGAAGAAGAAAGATTCCACCGAAGTGATGTTTTCGTGCCTTGTGTCGGACGAGGAAACAAGCAGGGAGACACAATATTGTTGGTTTGATGTGCCAGCGGGACTTGGAGTAAAGCCGTATTGCAGCTGTGAGGAGTTCATCTGGTGGCCAGACATCACTCTGGATCAAAACAGCTCGTTTACTTCACTCCTTTGGTGAGAATAAAAAGACGGGCACCACTTAGTACCACGCTGGGAGGAGTTCGCCACCTGCTGGCTGAGAAGGGAAGTCATTTAAAATCAATTGAAATGCCACTAACTTTTTTTCCTCCAGAGAAATCTACGAATCAATGAATTATTGAAAACACGGCATTTATACCGGTTGTGTAACTTGTATTTTAATTTCATTTGTGACATTACTGTCACCTTCAGGACTTCGGGCGATCACTTCTGTTCTTGTTGCACTCAATGGTGTTTATAGTTCATATGTTCTCATAAAAGCCGTAATGAGGAGAGGGCGGCAGCGGCAATGTCAGACCGGATTTCCACAGCGAAATATGAAAAGCAGCCAAAGGAACCTGATCGGGGGGGCCTTGTTGTTCGGGGCGTCCTCCGTCTCCGATGTGTTCTGCAGCTGTCGGTTCCTCCTCCGGCGCTGAGGACCCGTCTTGTTGTTTGAAGCTGGCTTGGCAATAAAAACCTGTGTCATGTGACCGGCAGCAGGAGTTGACACCATCAGCGTTATCGATTTTGACGTTATTTGGGTGTTTTTCATCGACCCGCATGGCTTTTATTTCCAAGAAGCGTTTTGGCTCACAGGTTTCCATGGTGATAAGATTTGCGTAGCTTTTATATAGCATTCAGGATTACTGCTTTAATAGCCATTACCAACTATAATTTGTGCAACATTTTTGTCTATTAAACGGCCAACTGAATACAGTGCAAGAATAGAATGTTGGTTAACAGCTAAAACCCTGTAGCCACATTTTTTGTTCTTTTTACAGGCCAGAAAACACCAAATATTAGAAGCACTCTGGCCTCACATCGATATTGTTAATCGATAGTAAAACAATCTGTTATTTCCAATGTTTATGAGCTTCATTTTAAAGCGCCTGTAAGGTTGTAATGAGTTTTGGGTAAATGATGGCAGTAATATAATGTAATTATTTCTCTTTCTCTGCTCTGTCTCCCTTTACTAAAACCCACATCTCCGCCTCCAACTGGATCCAGTTAGAGTCTTACCGTGACCACATGGTCCAAAAAAAGAAACAACTCGTGTGTGTTATTTCCTTCATATTTTTCTTAATCTTCTCGGACATTTTTTTCAAGTGTGTTTCCGCCCAGCGGTCTCCGGAAATGCACATTACGCTCTATCTGTTCCCCGGTTAGTCATCCCTCTAACTGCCTTGTTGTTTAACAAAGCAGCTGTGCTCCCCGGAGGACTAGTCTCTTATTGGACTCTCCGGAAGATGGACGATATTATGCGAAAGCTAAAAGAAATTCACATTAAGTTTCCCTCGCTGCCTCCTCACTAATTCGTTGTTAACTGCAGATAACACTGATCGATTTGTAGTCACCGATAATTGATACGATGATTTTATCGGCAAAAATGTAAATTTTTTTGTTGTTTTATCCACGTAGGAAGCCAGGAAAAAGTACGACAAGGAGACTGAGAAGTACTGCGCAGTGCTGGAGAAACACCTCAGCCTTTCGGCTAAAAAGAAGGAGTCCCATCTGCACGAGGTAAGATGGTGTCTGTCTTCTTTCTCATTCATCATCCGTGTTTTTCCTCCGTCTGTCACTTCTGCTAATGTCCTTCCTCTCTGTAGGCGGACAACCAGGTCGATAACGTCCGGCAGCATTTCTACGAGGTCTCCCTGGAGTACGTCTTCAAGGTGCAGGAGGTCCAAGAGAGGAAGATGTTTGACTTTGTGGAACCCGTAAGACGCACTTTTTTATTTTTTATTTGTATACTTTTAGAGCTGTGATCAGACTCCAAAAAAAAAAAGAATCTGGCCCGACCCTACATGAACCCTAAATGTCTCTCTCCAAGACACAGCAGCACTCTAGAGTCAGAACCTGATTTAAAAAATATATATATGTTTCCACTGTAATATGAATAAAAACTGAAACCAGGTCATTGAACGCAAATGCAGATACGCACAGACGGTCGTGCACATTTTTCCTCATTCATTATTCCGGAGTCTGGACCGGGTTGTGGTTGTTAAGTCAACATCAGCGCCGACCCAACTTTATTCGAAATTCCAGTCCGGGTTTTGGCTGCTAATCAAAGCGATACATCAGCTCCACAGAGTAGGTCTAATTAACACTTCTGTTGTATTTTCTGCCTTTTTAGTAATACATTTTTTTCCACATTATATGTTTGGTCAATAATTATGCAAGAAAAACATTTTTCCACTTTTTAAACTTTTCCATCGGTTTCTTCTTTCTCCTCCTCCACCCAGTCTTCACTAACCCACTTGTGCTTCCCCCACTTCTTCCAAATCTCAACCTTTTCCTGCTGTTCTTTCGACATTTCCACTTGTGCTTTGCCTTCACAGTGCATCTGCAGTTCCACATCTGTCCACATCTCTCTTCTTTCATCTCTCTCTCTAATTTCCCTGCTCTTTTTGTTTCCCTCAGCTGTTAGCGTTCCTCCAAGGCCTGTTCACCTACTATCACCACGGCTATGAGCTGGCAAAGGATTTCAACCACTTCAAGACTGATCTCACCATCAGCATACAGAATGTAAGGTCTCACACACACGTGTACTCCAAAAGCACCATAACCACCCGAAAATAAATCAACATTTAAGGATTTAAAAGGTTGAAGTTTTGTTTATCGAAATGCTTTGTTGAAGCGTTGAAAGTGAAATAAGGCCGTCGAAACTTCACTTGCCCAGAGGAAACCTCTAGAAAGGCACAAGTTGTCTTGAGAGAAAATATTCCTCCAAACGTGAACAGCCTGCCTGCAGGCCGAGAGGAGTCGTGGCCAGTTAAGCTGACCCAGGATCAGGCCGTGCGACGAGAGACCTCAGGCGTGTGTTCCTGTGCGCTTGTGTTGACAGACGAGGAACCGCTTCGAGAGCACGCGGTCGGAGGTGGAGAGCCTCATGAGGAAGATGAAGGAGAATCCACATGAACACAAGAGTGTCAGCCAGCACACCATGGAGGGATACCTGTTTGTGCAGGAGAAGCGTGAGTATCGCCACAGTTCTGTGCGTGTGCGTGTGTGTGTCTGTCGGTGTGTTTGTACATCTTACAAAGAGGGGACAATTCAGCGACAATCAACAGTGTTGCAAGTCTGATCTGTGGGCGACGTGACGGCAGCTCTGACCATGTGCCGTTACCGTGGTAACCTATTCAGCACGCAGGCATGACTAAGACTCCTTCTTGTTTCGTGCTCTTTTTTTTTTTTTTTTTTCATTTAACCCCTGCCCCCTCCCACCCCCCCCCCGAATGTTTGACATCAGCTGTGTCTCTTGATGGTTTTGTTTTCATCCCTCCCTCTCTTCATCCGTCTCCGTCTCCCCAGGCTCTTTTGTCTCAACCTGGGTGAAGTACTACTGCACCTACCACCGTGAGCCCAAGCGGGTCACCATGGTCCTGTTTGACCCTAAATCAGGAGGGAAAACGGTGAGTGGCTTTGGCATTTAAATACATATGAGGTTACAGTGTCTCTGATTCGTCCTCCCGCGCGGACGCAGAAGGGGCGCTTCATCATCACGTTGTAACGTTGATTTTGAATCCCAGTGAGCTGCTATTTTAAGGGGAGTTGGTTGGTTACCTGCATTAAGATCTCCAGCTTCAAGAATCGTACTTATTTTATTGCCGTTTGATCGTTTAAAACGTTTTATTTCTAGATTTTATTAGAATTCTACATACGCAAATACACAACGTGTAACAGAACCAACACATCAATGTGTATTTTGGTCGTTTCCAAAAAGTTCTCAATCAGTCTTCCGACACCTAGCACCGTGCGTCAGAGACGCTCCCCTATGTCATGGCAGCACGCAGTCATACGGGCAAATATTCCTCCCACAACAGCAGCCCTCATGCATGAGAGCATTGCCAAAGATGTTTTTAGTGAGCAGCGACTATTAGTGCTATCTGCTATTACTGCGTCCACCCACACACAAAGCGGATGCAGGTTCCGGCGGGGGGGGGGGTTCTGAGGATTCTCATTTTACAGTTGCCAACGGAAGGAAAAATAGAAGAGATTTGATCACAGAAAGACTTTCTGCTCCCGCACAGCAAAACAATTTAGAGGTTCATAAAGTCAAGATAATAACATCAGGATAAATCGAAGATATGGACGTGTCTCATAAACGGAACCAGTCGGGGCTCAAACCGCCACGATTGTTGTGCGAGTCAGAAAACTGCCTCGTCTGCGGCCTCCGTTGCTCTCCGGCATCATTAAAAAGAACAGCGAATCTGATTATGCGACACGTACTTGAGGGTTTTACGTCATCTGTTTTCTGTGTTGTCCAGGAAAACATTCATCATCGTCTCAAACACTTGTGTTTAGTCTGTTTGGTCAGTTTGTTTATGACACTAATGTCCTTTTCCTCTGGTGTCAGGGAGAGGAGGACAGCTTCACCCTCAAGTCCTGCACCAGGAGGAAGACGGACTCGATAGAAAAGAGGTTCTGCTTTGATGTGGAGGCTCTGGACAGGTCAGTGAATCCCACACACTTATCCTTTGTCCAGCTGGTTCCTTTCTATTTGTTCCTTTCTCCTTTACAAATACAGCACATTGCACACTGCAAATGTCGTTAGAAATCTGCAGCAGTGGGAATCATGGAGTTCGATTCTTCCTCGGCAGAACATACACCAGATTCTATTTCCCGACTTGACTAGTGAACGCTGTCTTTGTGTGACTAATCACAGCTGCACTGCTCCGCTCAGCCATCCGTGTAGTGGTTGGCATGCGATCCGCTTGCGTGATGTAGTTACTGCTAACAGACACAAGGGGGTGCTCGGATGATTTGGACCTGGGGAGAGAATGTGGAGGGTGTTTGTTGTCTCATGCGCTCGGCCCCCTGGTGCTTCTCTTCCTCCACTTCCTCCTCCTCCTGCACTTCCTCCACCTCCCCCTCCTCCTCCACCTCCCCCTCCTCCTCCACCCCCCCCGCCGCCTACTTCTCCCCATTTGGCCCGGCTCAACTTAAACCTTCGGCCAAATCAAATCGCCTTTTGATTATCTCATCCACTTATTTCCCCTTTTACCTTTATTCCTATTACCGGTGTGGATCTGTGTTCGTTTATCTTTAATGTTTAAGTTTTATTTCCACAAGAAAACAAATTAATTCAGTCCATTTTGTGAACATTGGTATTGTTTTGCTTTTATTCATGTGCGCATCGCGTGCACATGCAGTATGGTCTTTGATTCACATGACTAATGTGGCCGTGTGTAGTAAAAATGATGTTAACTGCAAACTCAAATTGATATCCTGTATTCAGGCTAAATTCTGTATCCTTTTTACATTTTACATTTTTTTATGATGTTTGGCTGGCGACACTAGTCAGACCTTTTGAGACACACACACACACACACACATAGACACAAACATTAATACCCTTTGCTTTTGAAGTTGAAGGAGGTTTGCTCGCAAATATCTTGCCTATTCTTACTGCTGATGATATCTCGTTTTAACAATCCAAGATACTTTTTGTGTGTGTTCAGCCCTCTGCGAGCTTCGCTGGTGGCATTTAAAAGACAACTGTCCCCCACTGGGCCTGATAGTTGATGAGCTAACGTGTCTCTTGTCTGTGTGAAGGACGGGGGTGATCACCATGCAGGCTCTGTCAGAAGAAGACCGCAGGTTGTGGATGGAGGCCATGGATGGCAGAGAACCGGTAGGTTGCCGCGGTTACCGGATCGTACCTAATGTGAGATCATTTCCAAAGAGGAGGGCAACTCTTGGGTCACGCCATGTCGATGTGCAGCTTTTTCCCTGCCCCGAGGCTGCGAGCGTGGGTCAGCGCATCCTCTGCACTCTCATTTAGTCGCGTCCTCGCCGTCAACAGCCGCCGCAGGCGTGAGCAAGCGGAACTGAGCTCGGGCCGTTCATGGTTGACATTAGCTAAGCCGAGCTCTGTGTCGTTAACACCTCCCTCGTGTTTGTCTGCCTCCACCTCGATGGTCAATACAAATTCACGCCCTGTTTGTTCTATAGGCAAGCCCTGGCAAACAGGGTGGATTACAGCGTAAACGCACCCTTTGTGTTAAGCGTATTCCCTGCGTTGGGGTCGGTTTAAAAAATAAAAAAAAGCATCAATGGACATGCTGTGACGATGTATCAAAGCTCGGGCATTAAGCTGTTAACTGAGCCCCAACTTAAACACAATTTTCTCTCCATCACCATGGCAACTGAACTAAATTTAACATTTCTGTACGTTTCCTAATATCTGGAGATTTCCAAGATCAGGGTTCCTTTCATTCATTTTTCTTATTCATGGAAGAAGCCGCATTTGCTTACAAGCCTTTAAAAGAGAAATACATCTGGCGTGTCTTCCTGTTTTGTATGTGTGTGAAATGTGTGAGTTGTTCTGCTCTTATTAAGCTTAGTGGTCAATGTATTTGTTATTGCAGGTATACAATCTGAACAGAGACAACCAGGCGGAAGGCTGTAAGTTCTTTTAATTTGTACTGCATTCATTTAGTTTTCATCTCAAATATAATATTTGCTCACTGTTTTGATGTTGAAATGTAATTGTGTGTGTGTGGTGAATAAAAAGTGTAATCACGGTGTCGTGCTCCCTGTCAGTGGCTCAGCTGGACGTGATCGGGTTCAACGTGATGAAAAAGTTTATTCACGCGGTGGAGACTCGAGGTATTCTTGTTTTATTCTTGTTGTTTTGTATGAAGGCCTCTTTGTTTCAGTTCCATTCAGAGCTGTAGTCTATGTGCGTCTACACACGTGTGCCTAAGAAGTGTTCTATGAATAGATGACTCTTAGAGCTGAAATGAATCACCAGTCAATTTATTTGAATAAGTTGTTCAAATTAGTCTAATGAGTATAATTATGGACATTTTCAACGTCAATATTTTTTTAACGTTTCATTGACCAAAACGTTAACCGAGAAATCATTTAATTTATTCTAAAAATAACACTACAAATCAGCCAGTGGGAAACCCGGATAATGTAGACAGAATGTGTGAACCGAGAAGAGATCATTTGCTGCACTACGTGGACGTGGACGAAAGAGCGAGCTACCGACGGCTGCCACCGGCTCTCTGAGCATCTCTCCAGTTTCTGCAGGAGACCTGCAGAAGAACTCGGGGGCAGCAGGAAGCGAGGTTTCAGTTTCGACGGCAAGATGCATACTGAACGCTGGCGGCCCCCGTAACCGAACTCCAAGCGGAACAGTGACCCAAAAAGCACCAGATGAGTCAGCTCCAGTGTGCTGAAAACTATACTGATAGGCCCTCACAAGTCAGGAAGGCCATCAGAACCCGGCGTGTGGCTGTGCAACAAGTTTGCATCAGGTCAATTTAGGAGAAGGCACCTGGGATTCTGTTCTGGGGAGCGATGAAACGAAACTGGAACTCCTCGGGCCCACGGACCAGCGTCATGTCTATATACTGTTTTGGTTGGTACATGAGAACAAAACCTCTCGTTTCCTCTCCAGGTATCGATGATCAGGGCTTGTACAGGATTGTTGGCGTCAGCTCCAGAGTACAAAAACTGCTTGGTCTCGCTATGGGTGAATATAGAAGTAAAAAAATAAACTGAGCATTTTCTCCTGTGTAAAATGTAAACAATGAAAACTTTCTTTTATCTTCACATCAGATCCTAAGACATGTGCTGACGTGGAGCTGGAAAACTCTGAGTGGGAGATCAAAACTATCACGAGTGCTATCAAGCACTATCTCAGGTTTGTGAGAAGCTGCGTAGTGAAATGCATGTACGAGGTATTGAACTATACTTTGATACAGCTGCACAAATATCCTCATTGAAATGATCTTACTGTTGTGTTTCTATTCTGTGTACTTTAACCTCAAAGACGGTAAAAGGATTAATTGCTGTTTTCATGCATGAATCTTTTTCTTTAACTATCAGTACTTGAATAAATGCATCTCACTGCTTTTAATATCTGCCTCTTGTAAGAAACAATTCTCCTGCTCGGCTCCACCACATTAAATGGCAAATAGTTTTTTTTTTTTCCCACACGGCATTTGCTGTCTTTTTTCAAATCTATGACTGACGTTTTAATTTTCCTCCAGCGGTCATTTGTTGCACGGATATTAAATTCCCCCTTTGTATTCACACTGTGTGGTGCTGTATTGGAGATGATGATTTCTCTCAACAATCTGTAATGAGTAGAAGATGTAGTGGTGTTCGAGCTGCACTCAAAAGAGACACACACACAGACACGGCTCTCTCCTTCACTAAGAGACGGCTTACGCGACGCACATACACACTAACTGCACGAGGACCTCAGGTCAGGCTTCCTTGAGGACCGTTGGGAATCATGGTGAGAAGGAGAAGACAGTTAGATGAGTTTTCATCCAGATCTGTCCAGATTTATTGATTTTCCAAGCAGACGTCAGCTGACGTGTGTGTGTGTGTGTGTGTGTGTGTGTGTGTGTGTGTGTGTGTTTTACAGAGTGCTGCCCGGGCCTCTCATGACGTACCAGTACCAGAGGAGCTTCATCAAAGCTGCAAGTGAGTTTGTGCCTCGTTCGCCTCTCGGATGTCAGTTAAGTCTGGCGAATGTTTGATTCCCGGTGACCATATTAAAACAATGCAAGCATCTATTCCAAAGAAACGCGTGAAGTGCTGAATCATGTTTGTGTTTATATACCGTTTATTAATCGACTACCGATTGATTAGAGAATTTTAATTTTTGTAAGTCTTCTTTTTCCTTTTGCCCTCCCAATGGGTGTCCGCATGAGGCCGTGCCTGCAGCATTCCTCCTCCGTTTCATTTGGAAAAGGAGATCACGCGTGACTCACGTCGGCGGGTGAGGTCATGGCTCACCAATGGATGGTCCACCTGCTGAGATAACAGGGCACCCACTTTGCCACCAGATTGCCTCCGTCTGTACATTTGCTCGGGTACCCGAAAGTAACAGTTTAAAAATACATGTAATTGGTCCCACTCTAGTAAACAAAGGTGCGGTTGAGTCCGGTCTGCACAGTTACAGCGTGTGTCATTGACCGGTTTTCTTTTGTAGCTGACTCCTTTAGAGAGCCGAGCTGGCGGGAACTCCAGGAAATGAGTGTTTCTCTGGCAACGCTACTAGGAAACGGATCCATAGTGAGGCCAACTAGAGAGAAAATGAGAAAAGTGTGTTAAAGTGTGTCTGAGGATAGAGCATAGACGGTTAGATAAGAACCTGGAGCGCCGGTGCTCTAGTGCAGGTACCCACAGCTTCATAAAATATCACATGGGCTTTCATTTGTGTTTACTGATCTCATACTGCAACGATTCTTGTTTAACTCCTTTGGTCGGTTTATTTCTGCCGTTAATCTTCATGGTTGGTATCTGAATTTGCATTACGCAAATACGTGTGTGAATTAATGTGTGTGCGTGCTTGCGGGGACATGCCCTGGCAGTCGGCCGTCCCGTTGAACTCTCTTCTCTTCACTCCTCTTTGGTTTAAAATAGCCGGTTTTGACAGAGATTTTAGTATTAAGAGAACTGATAACTCATTATTTGATAATATCAGCTCCTGATAGACTCTTGGTTTTCTTAAATTCAACCCAATCATTTCAGTGTATTTGATTTTTCTCGTGGGAAATCCAAGGTTCCGAAAAGACGAGAGAAAGAAGAGGAGGTTGGGGTGTCGTTTGGTCTGCAGATGCCTGGCGTGTGCCAGCAGGCTGACACGGATACAGGAATCATTCTGTCTGCAGTCATTAGGTCTTACACATAGTACTGTATGTCTAATGTATATTTCTCCCTGATTCTGATCTTTAAGCCGTCCATCCATCTAGATGTGAAGGTTTTTTTTTATAACTGAACTAAACAGCAGGATGTCAACAGAAAGAAGTGCAATGGAACAATATGAAAAGGCTTTATGAGCATGAGTTTAGTTTAAAAGCTAATCCACATTGTGACATTCAGAGCTTAACCTGCATGACGTACGTTTCACATTTGCCACGCCCTTGTTTTTTTTGTAACTTCCTCAAGCCAGCATTCCATTAAGCCACCCACTCCATGCAGTGTCCATTCTCTCTCTCTCTCCACTCCTCACAAAGTATTTTCGTCACTTTGTGCGTGGACAACTGATGGCTTTTGAGGCTGTCTCATAGTCTGTTGCCCAATCCCCGTTCGCATGATTCATTGCGACTCTTCTCTGTGATGGCAGTCCTCGAGGCATCTGGAACAAGTATCAGAGCATTCGCCTTTTGGAAGCAATCCGAATTCTCATCAATTATGCCAATGAAGGCTGAGCGGCTCTCGGGATGTCGGGAAGCTTTTACAGTCTGTTTCATAACTTGTGTCACTGTTACTGTATATGAGCTATATATGAGATCAGAGATGCCCAGAATGAATGATGAAGGAAGGGAAAGCAGAACAGCTGTTGGTTTTTTGGCATCAGTCGAGGGTCAGCGGATGTTGGAAACCTTCGCGAAGCAACGCGCGCTTCTGTTGTGTGGACGCGGACGGGTTCGCTTCCATGACTTCGTGAAAGAATGTTCTCCGTCCAGAATCCAAATCCCCGCTTGCTTAAGAGGAATCCGGATGAAGTTTTTTTTTCAAATTAGCTTCTGTTTAACAATATACGATTGGACAAACGTTGCTTTTAATTAATAGCTTATTGTGTGATTTGGTGGCTACCAGAACGTCTCTGATTCTCTCAGCGTGCTGGTCACCTCGTTCTGAAGTGTTAAGACGACTAAAGAGGATACACATACACACGAACTCTATTTATGTTGTCTTGTGTAACTGTATATCCACATGCATCCACCTCCCCCAATATATGTGCATTTTTCCACAGGGCTGGAATTCAAGGTGAACGAGTGAAAGTGGCTTTAGAAGGATAGCCCCCCGTTACGTGACGGATGAGGTGGAGGCCGCCATGATACATTGCTTGGTGTAATCACCGACTCGGCACCTTACCGTCTACAGTGCCGCCTCCCAGCCTACTTTTTGTTTTTCGCCTCATTACGGCTGCTGGTTTGTGGGTTTACTGTGAATGTGCGTGACTCTGCAGTACCTAAAAAGAAATACCGACCAATTGTCCCGTTATATTTTAGGACGAGTGAGGATATCATGTTACGAGTTTCTGTTCTATATAATTAATGAAACATGATATGCTTGTGTCCTGTTCCACTGGAAAACTGGAAAAAGAAATCTTCTGCTACTTCTGGGTAGAATGAAAACAACATTTTCAAACGCCTAAAACGCATGCATGAATTTATCCACACACATTGCAGGGCGGGGGGGGGGGGCGCTTTAGCATAACGTGTCCGTGGAGAGGTGGACACGAGAGAAGGATGCATCTGTTTGGAGCTCTGCACATGTGAATGCGTGTCTATAGTCATGTCAGCATCTGTCTGTGTGTGCGTGTGTTTGTGTCCGCTTACATGTCACGCCGTGTGTGTGCACGCATCTACTTAACTATTCTAAATCTACCAAATATTTGGTCTATTCCTCCCAGTGTATTTAGGCGTGTGTGTGTGTGTGTGTTTTAGCAGCCATGTTAATCCCTGCTGAAGTGTGTCTGTGTGTCTCTCTGTGAGATCGCTGACAGCCCGGCCCTCAGGGTTGATCTAATGGGATTCTGCTGTCGTCTCTCAATCCACTCGCTCTGCAGCCGTGACGTATTATTGTCATCCACCAGCGGCAGGCCTGATGTTTATAACTGCCATGCAATGGCGATCGCGTAAAGACAAAGCTGGTGTCGATCGATGCAGTTTGTTCGTCGCTGTCGACAAATCAGATAAAGATAAAGCCCCCTGTGTCTGCTGGAGAGGTTAAACCGTTTAATTTACAGAAAACTATTAACTATTTAACAATAAGAAATGCACTCACACAGGAGTAAATAAGGCATTGATTATTTATGGCAGCATGAAGGGGGCCGTTTAAAACCAAATACTGTGGCAATGTTCGTGGTATTGTAGTAAAACGTAAACACAGAAAATGAATTCACGTCTTCTTCTCACGTGCTTGTGTCAGTAAAGGAATAGTCCAATGTGTCTCTCTCTCTCTCTCACTCCACATGTCCGTCTCTCTTCCCAGAGCTGGACAACCAGGAGGCTCGGGTGACGGAGGTCCACGCGCTGGTGCACCGGCTGCCTGAGAAGAACAGACAGATGCTGGAGCTGCTGATGAAACATCTGGCCACGTAAGACGAGCTATGGCACAACTGGAAATCCCTCATTAGTATTGGAAATGTTGTGTCATTATGACAGTTTGTCATGCAGTGCTAACGGGCCTCCACACCCTCATCTCCGTCGCGCCCCGTTGATGACCATCCTCGAGTCGGATCAGGGCTCTGTGTAATCTCTGGAGCAAATGCATCAAGGCTGTTTGTTTTGAAAATAGATCGAGCTCCATCCTTCGGCCAACTTTTGGGCTGAATTGGGTAGAAAAGTTTTTCATACATTTAATCTACTCGTAAATGAACGACATTTACATCACTGCATTACATTATCATTTGTGATGCTGAAACAATGTTATTTGTGTAACACAGACGTTCAAAAATCTATCAAACTAAAAGTTTTAACCTCGACGACCTGCACATCACCCAAAGCACAGCTTAGTGGGAGATAATCAAATGCTGCTCAATGAGATTTCAATGCTTTGTTTCAAAACATTTCAGACGCATTGATGCTAATGAGCACTGCAGGTGAATCAGAACGGTTTCTATTGAAGGCCGTCCCCTGGCAATTGCCTCTTAACTTTTTTACATCTTTAAATCCCACTTTTGACTTCTACATTGTGCATGTTTTTACACTGTCCATAGGCAGCGATATACTAAGAACATCGGTGAGTTAAACAGGTTGTTCGGACTTCATGACCACAAGCTGCTGCAGCAGATAAGCTAAAAAGCAGGCCATGGCACAGTTGTTATGTTTATTTATTCCTTTGATACGGCTCACTGGCATTGTGTTTTCACTCCAAACCCTCAACTAAGCTCTGTGGCTTTGTGGAGCTTTTCTTTAACAACAGCAGCATTATAAAATGTGTGTCGAATGGGACTCGAGCCATGTTTATACAACATGCAGACGAGTGCAAATACAGCCATCGTGAAGACGATGGTGCTCCTCCGGTTGGGCTCAGTGCGTTACGTGTCATCATCACTGGCTCATAGGTCGGACCACAGTAAAAACACGCCACTGATGCAGCCTCGTGCTGGGTCATACCTTCAGAAGGGTCCCAACGCTTAGAAGATGTCGCTTGTGGTGCCGTTGAACTGCATCGCCTTTCATAGACAGCTGAACCGCTTATTTGGCCTAAACCTATTGGTGTGAATAACTCCCGTTTATATCAACAGTGTGGCGAGTCATCACCATCAGAACCTGATGACCATCGCCAATCTGGGCGTGGTCTTCGGGCCCACTCTGCTCCGCCCGCAGGAGGAGACGGTCGCAGCCATCATGGACATCAAGTTCCAGAACATCGTGGTGGAGATCCTCATCGAGCACCACGAGAAGGTACGGGAGAATAGGGGTGCGCACGACCGCAAAGGAATAGCATCAGAATAAGACCAAGTTGAGGATTAAATGAATTCCTCGGCTTCGACAAGGAGGTTTTTTCTTTTTGTTCAAATTGTACATTTAAAACGACAATAAATTACACCCAACTACTCTGAAAGGGCACCTGCTGCACACAGATTAAATGCGCTCCATAAGCATTAAAAGTCTCTTCCCCCATTTTCATCCAAGTATTTTATCGGCTGGCCAAGCTGCTTCCAGGTGTTGCCATGACAACAGACAAATCAGCATCTCAGAGCCTCATTCAGCACACATGGGATGTTCAACAAATGATCAGATGCGCAAACAACAAACACGCATCCGGCACCTGTAGAGGCATGAATTTACACACACACGGGATAAATCAATGACACACACACACACACACACACACACACACACCAAAGCTTGCATACAGCCCGGAGTGTGATGCATTCACACCCGGACGCTGTGCATTGTGCGAGCACAAAACAAATAGTTTGTGCGTTCTGAGGCAGAGGCAGCTCTGAATCCTCCACAGTGGCTCTTGTGTCACTGTCTTCTATTGTACGCCAATATAATAGGCGCTGTCAGCACTTTGTGTTTAAGCACTCTGCACAGATAAATTGATGGTATTGTAATTTCTCTCCCCCTATTTTTGGTGTTTTTCTGATTTCTAATTTCATCCTGAAGCTTTCGTGAAGTAAAATGGAATCACTTCTGAAATAACCGAATCAAAAAAAAAAAAGTTATGTAAACGGTATGGAAGTGAATCACACGAGACTCGTGTTCTACTGTAGTGGTGTTCTACTTGAAGTTCGGTTATGGAGGCCGTCAGCGTTTAGTTTGCCGTCGAAACTGAAACCTCGCCCCCGAGTCTTTCTGCAGGTCCTCCGCAGTAACTGGAGAGATGCTCAGGGAGCCGGTGGCAGCCGTCGGTTCTCTTTACTTTATACATGCAATCAAACGTCACTGCCAGTGGTATCTTGTGCTGGATTTGGAGAAACCACTTGTTACATCAGTTGCTCTTTAAATTGTCCTTTAAGTTGTTTATTGAAAACTGCTGAAATTTTAAGTTGCAATAGGGGTTCAATGATTTCAAGTGCCAATATATATGTGTGTGTGTGTGTGTGTGTGTGTGTGTGTAGGTTTATATATATATATATATTTACAGCATTCTCAGCAAGTAAGCTAGATATACGTGACCAGCCGATTCTATACTTTGTTATATGACAATCTCGCAAACTATGGCATCGGCCTCCACATTCTTCCAATATCATGATCAGCATTTCCCTTCAGTAACATATTCAGTTACATTTCTTCCCCGTAGCAGCAGCAACAACAAACACGTTTTTGGAGGAGAAAAAACAAATTCTGTGATTTTTACACCAGTAAATTACTTTTTGAAATCATCTGTATACCATTTCTTTGGGAGCGCTCGGCCGTGAATATCCATTCTGTCTGTGCCAGATTTTCAGGGACGTGCCGGCGTCGGCGGGCGGCCCCACCAGCCTGCAGCCCAACCAGTCCAGGCGGAGAAGCACCGACAGCAAGGCGCCGTCCTGCAGCGAAAGGCCCCTCACGCTTTTCCACACGCCAACACATTCCCAGAAAGGCGAGTTGAACCAATCACTTTACCGGATAACATTGCACGTGGTTTCTGTGCTGCTGTACCGTGAGCTTAAAGAGAGAGAGACACTTTCAGCTCTTCTTTTTAAAGCGTCAACAACAGGCTGTCTGTTGCCAGCTCATTAGATTTATTTCACAGTTGCCAACAGATGTTTTACGACTGGAAGACGTGTCAGTGTACCAAGTGGTTATTTGCTGAAGAACTGAGCGCATCTTCTAACCACGTAAAAACACCAAAAGTGGTTATACATCTATATACATTCTTAGGTGAAAAGAGGAACAGCGCTGAACCGCCGCCACCGGTTCCCTCGTCCGCCAACTGCAACAGCAGCAGCAACAGCAGCAGCAGCGGCGGCAGCGGCCAGAGCCAAGGCCGGACCCCGAGACACAGCCTGACCAGCAACGACGGGGAGCCTGACACGCGGGCCATCCGGCCCAGCTCACTGTGAGTCACCAATGCCACGTGAATCTGATTTTTAAAGTACCGTTTTGGACCGGTAGTGGGACCAAACGTCATCAGGACACATGCAGATGCAGAGGAGCTGATTACTGAAGAAACCTCCCTGGCTGCATTTAGTCAGTGAAGTGTGAATGTCATTGGAGGCGTCAAGGCGACAGTACATTTAGTGGGTTTCTCAACACTGCGCCCTGGTTGTGCTTTTAAAGCAGGCAAAAATCTCCACATTGTGTGAGACTTTCAGTAAAATGAGAGGATGGAAAATCCCAAACAATTGGTTTCATCTCTGTTTGTTCTGTACAAAGATGCTCCTGCTTATCCGAGAGCAAACACTGGAAGAAAGATGCAACCAAAGAGTAATAAAATCCATATTGACGGCTTAGAAAAGAACATCTCAGAGAACACTGGTCACGGTAATAAGCCATACATGCATATATATTATATATGCTGCTCTCGATGATGGCAAAAGAAGCATGAGGTGTGTTTATATGTGATTCAAAATAACTAAGCCTAAGAAAAAGTCATTCAATTCACATCAATGGAGAAAATGCATGCCATCTCAGCATAATGGGCCTAAGAAGAAAAGAACTTCATCTGCAAGGACACACAAAATCAGATGAGTCATTTCAACAGTTTGTTTGTTTGTGCACGACGACCGTGAAATGTGTAACTGAACTATTATTAACGCAGCATGGGTGATGGGGTCCCTAAGCTTTTTTATTTTATTCAGATAATTAGTTTCTACTCCACATTGTAGCATTATTGCTAATAGCATATATATATATATATATATAAAGAATAAATCCATAAACGAATATACTAGGAATGATGGTACACCATTTGATCGTGCAGTATTGTTATTGAAATGTGTAAATATATTGATTTTATTAAATTTTGATTTGTTTTTCTGCAAAAAAAGTAACTGTTCCCAAACGATTCTCGAGATGTGGTCGGCTTACCTGAGGAACGGCTGTTTGGAGATGTGGCCGCAGCATTAGGTGGCTTAAAAAACATGGCAAAACGTCGCCGTTCCTGTGAGCTTATGCTCATTGACTCCGGGGGAGGGAAGGAAAGTTGTGCGGTAACGCCTCCCAGACTGCGGCCCTGGCGCGTTTTAACCCGGATCAATGAGCCAGCCGAGGTCTGCGCGCTGCAGACGAGCCCTCGGAGCCTTGGCGAGCACAACAAGACATGCAGGCCGAGGCTAAGAGGCTTTAGAAGGGAAATATTTCCTCCTCCGGCATAACAACCATTCGCAAACACACTCCACTATTCAGCAGGCGACGTGGCGCTTCTTGATATTTTTTAATTTATATGTTCCCTCGTATTGTTTGAATGTCTCCCTCTCATGCTCTTAGACCTTCAGATGTTATTCTGATCATGCATCATTTTGAAATGGCTCCTGCGATGACACTGGACATTTATTATTTTGCCACAGGCATCACGATCAGAGAAGGTTCTGGGTTTATTTTCTCTTCTACCTTCTGCAGCTGCTCGCCCTTCCGTCTGCGGCGCTGTACAAATAGTCGATCTTGCGTGAGATCCTTCAGTACGGACACCCGTGAGTTGCAACCTAATCTGTTTGAAGATAATGGTAATGGAAAACTAAAAACAACTCTGAATGTTACTGATGAATGTGAATCAACTCCCACGTGAGTAACCTTAGAACGCTGCTGACAAGCTGCATATAAAGGCTTTGTCGAAGCTTTGCCTCTCTGCACTCAACTGAAACACAGGTTTCAATCACCTTCTTATTTCACTTTCCCTATTTCTTTTTATTTTTTTTTATTTTTTAACAAACCATAAGCTTCCCTCGATAAAAGATAAAAGTTCTGGCACATTTGGCCTCTATTAGTAATGGAAAGGCTGGAAAATTAAAATATCAATAATATGAAAATTGCTGGACCTGAAAATCATCGTTTGTGTCAGGGGAAGTTTAAAAACCACCTCAACGGGCCAGAGAGGTGTGCACATACGAGGGGATTTCCTTTGAGACGGAAGCAGACGGCAGTAGGAGTCACAGACCCAATTAAGGTGTGGGAGTGTCCTCCATCGTGGACCATTATCTTGTTATTGTTGCAACAAGTCCTCATGCATTGCATTCACGTCGTCTGTCTCGTGGATAGGAGGACACACCGAGGGGAAAAGCCGCACGCTTTATTAATCAGGCCAACTTGTCCAGACTTCTAAGCAGCAGACATGTCTCTTCTAAAGGTATATTTCTAATACAGTAAAAACAAACTCTATTTGTCGCCTGAAGAGGTCATGCAACCTTTTTTAGTGCTGCTGCTGCAGTGCAACGTTCTTTTGTTCTGTTTCTTTTTTTGCCGACGGTAAATACAGACATACATAATGTCTGCGTGTGTAAAGGCTCAACAAAGGTTTGATTATCCCCTACATGCATTGTGTAGATCCACGCTGTCTTTGTTGGCAGCTTTCACACCATGTTGCTTTTAAGGAGACGGAGACGCGGGCCATTGATGGCGTGTCTTGTTGCATCGGGAGTTGATGGCCCGTTAGGGACGAGTGTGGAGGACAAGAGATCTGTTTAATTTAACCAACTGTGAGCGAGCACATCCACCTGAAACAAGTTGATTTTCTTTTTTTTGTTTAAGTTTAATGTTTTATCTGTGCAGCACGCGGGAAAATGTTGTAGCTAAAGATATTGATTTTTTTTTTTTTGTGGTCGATTTGTCAGCTGGAAATCGTCACTCCTCATCTCTTGCGACGGCTGTGCTGAAAGGAGGGAGACGAGACGTGAGACAAAGCACATTGACAGACGAGCAGTGAGGTGACAATGTCACTCAAAGTGATGGATCCACCCCCAACTTCTTACAGGGTTTTTTCTTTAAGTGGAAGCTTGCTCATGCAACACTCCGTCTCATCCGTCCCCCACTCATAGACTGATGGCAGTGGCTGCATTGCAAAGCGCCCCTTGACCAACCATTCACACCCATTCATTCAAAGCGGGCCGCCGATCGGCTTATTTGTGTGCGACTTACCACAACCGCGTTTGGACCGCGTGTCTCCGCCGCGAAGACAGCCAAGTCCTTCACGCGTCTCAACAGAATGAAATGTTCATGCTGAGAATTCCAAACCCACAGATTCCTTTTTTACAAAGTTTCAAAGTGTTCGTAGTCCTTCCAAGAGTCACAAATTCATCCAGCTGACCGTATTTTGGAAATCTGGACCAGGCGCTCAAGATGTTTTGCTGTTTCTAATGTCTTTCCACCTCAAATCCATTATTCTATTTTGGTCACTTGACGACCTGTTGGGCCACTGCAGAGTTGATATTATCCGCCACGTATGTGTTCATCGGGGCGTTGTCTCATACGAGGCCTTCAGGATGTAGCAGTGTAACTATGGCAACCTTCCACTGGCAGGAGAATAGAGAATATTCCTCCTTTTTGTCGCAAAGTAAGTTTATTTTTTCAAATAACAACATGCATCAAAGCTGCCCCAATCGATTCTGATTGTATCACTGCTGGGCGTTACAGTCGTGGACCAATGTCCCCTGACTGCGGTTCCCCTCCAGCTTGTTGTTTTTGGTTTTTAGTACAATTGGCCGTCAATAGCAACATTTAGCTCAATTCTTGTAACAAAGTGCCAGTGATTGCAGAGACGTTCAGCGAGTGCTGAGTGCATTTTAAACTCAATAGACCGATTAGAGGGGACCCTGCAGGATGCAGTTGGTGAATGGATGGAAAGTAGAGACGGGTAAGTAGAGAAAGGAGACAAATTGTCTGTAATACCTGAACAGGGAGGTCTGCAGACCGTCGCTGTCCCCCAGTTATTATAATCAAGCATGTGGTTTTATTTTTTTCTAAAACACTCATACAAGAAAAAGGAGCTAAAAGTCTGGTCTGATAGAAGGATGAATTATCATTATTTCACAGAATCTGTCTTGAAGTGAGATTAGCTTACCCACTGTTACCCAGTCCAACCAAATAAAGCTCAACTCAACGAAATGTTTTTCTTCGTCTGTTGGCCGTCGCTTAAGGTTGTTATTTTAGCGCCGACTGTCACATCATCAATCAAGTGCTATGAATGAGTCAGTTTCTCCTTGCAACTAAAATTATTTGGGTATTTTATTTTTGCCAAGTAAGCGTTGCGTTGCACGAGTGCTTAAAATACGGGGAGACCTCAGTGAGAAGGGACAAACCCCGAAGTGACACAACGCTCTTAATTCAAACCGCTTTCCTTTATTTCTAGTCGAGAACCATTTAGCGTTTCGTCATTTGGATGGAAACCTCTGATCCCATTTTCTTCTTTCTTTTCCAGGCTGAATCCGAAGAGTCGTGGCAGCAAACCAACCAGGTAAGAAAAACACACCTTTTGGTGTGTTCTCGTCTTCTCGTCCATATAACGTGCAACGCGCGCCAAACCGCCTGTCTCGTGTGTCCTCCAGCGCGACGTCCCCCAGCCCCACCTCCCCACGCTCCCCCTCCTGGCCCATGTTCTCCGCCCCGTCCAGTCCGGGGCCGACGTCCTCCGCCTCCAGCGACTCCTCCCCCGTCAGGTCGGTAAATGTCCTCCTGCGTCCAGCGAAGCCCCACGTCTGATTTTTCGAGGCGTTTTAAATCAAACTAAAAGCTTTCTGATTTGTCCCATAAATCGCCCCAGAAGCCACTGACTCATTCTCGCTCCGTCTCGTTGTCTCCCAGCATTGCGGGCAGGAAGGCTCGAGCCCTCTACGCCTGCAAGGCCGAGCATAACTCCGAGCTGTCCTTCATCGCTGGGACCATCTTTGAAAACGGTGAGTCAGGCGTTTGGGGAAAGAAAAGGAGAAGAAAAAAAAAAGCAGCTTTATTTGCTTTCTTCCCTTCACATCTGCACAGTGAGAGTTTTAGGCTTTTCTCCAGTCAAATGTCTTCTCTTCTCTGACTCCTCTGCAACCGACCAAAGCCCGGAACCATAAATCACGTGTATCTCCTCACGGACGTCTTTCACTCCGCTCCACTAATGAAAACCAGATTTGCACACATTTGAGGATAAAGCCACTTGGGTTGTACGTCGTCATCAGGCGGGACGGTCGTCGTGGTCCGTTTAAAGTCTGCTTTCCACACTGATCTCCTACTGCGACCGCAAGAGAATAGTTACTCAAATGCATTTTACCATCTAGCTCATATTGTCTAACGAGTTTGATGCATACTTGATTGATTGACAAAAGGGTTTCAAACGGATCATTGAAACTCCAAAAGGGATCGACTGTGTTAAGTGGCGTCTCTCTTTGATGCGACTCTGTGGTTGGATGGTTTTGCAGCACTTGTGAGTCAGATTCTCTGAGGACAAAATGTGGTAAACACACAAATTTCCTTGTGCGTCGATGTTCCCCTTAACTTCCTGTGTTTGGGCCAGATCTTGCTAAGACTATTTCCTGTTTAGTGGATCTTTTTACCAAAACATTGCAATGTAATTCACGCCGCAGCAAAACACAACTAATTAGGTCACGTGTTATTGCGGTATTTAAATGTCGGGCTCTGCAGCGTTGTTGCTGGTTTAAGGGGTTGTCGAAAAATACAACAACGGACCCAACGGACCTACAACCAAATACAACTATATGCCATTAAGTGCACTGAACCAAAGCAGCTTTACTGATTTAAATAATTAAACATGAAACACTCCGATAATGAGGAACATGTGAGAATGTCGACAGCGCTGTTTTCAGTGCTCACACACATTTAAGGATATTTCTATCGTGCAGTCTTCAGATCTCTCTCTCCCTCTGTCTCTCTCTCTCTCTCTCCAGTTCATGGCTCCCGGGAGCCCGGCTGGCTGGAAGGGACTCTGGACGGCCGGACGGGATTGATACCAAAAAACTATGTTGAGTTTTTGTAGTTCAGGGCCCCAAAAAAGACTGGATTAATGTTGGCTGGAGTTGACAAAACTGGACGATGGATTTGACTGCACAGGACTGAACCACCTATTAGATGTTATATTATGGAGGACTGGACCGCTGAGGCCTCGCACGTCCTGGAAAAGGGATGAAGCAGAAAGATGTGGAAGGGACACGACGCCAGGACCAAAGGAGAAACCCGTGAATTGCACTGGAGAGAAAGCAGAAGAAAAGATGAGTCCCAGGATGTTTTGGCTGAAGGTCATAAACCTTCTAATTTCTCAGCAGGCCATTGGGAGAGACTCTCACGTAGAAATGAGTGGATGTTTCTGGGATGTAAAGGCTTTTCAGCTCTTGCTTTATTACTTTCAAACTGCACTGCCGTTGCTTCAGAATCCAGACTTCTCATCTGAAGGGAATAGAAAAGCTTCTTGTGGGGGCAAAACGAGGGGAATAGCTTAAAAAGCAAGTGGCCTTTTTCTTTGGACTTGCTGTAATCCGTGTGAATGGTTGCGGTTTACCATTGAGGAACCTTTCTGTTGATGCCGATTTCACTGATTTGGCTTTTGGTTAAAGGCTGTAAATGTGTTTTGCCGCGGAGGTCCGGTTACCCGGCTCATGTTTCAGAGCACTTCTTCAGCAGCAGGAGCCCCGGGGCAGACCGGCACAGGAGGAGCTACCTAGAAGACCCTCGGCCTAAAGGTCAGCGGCGGGTTTATCCTTCCCCCAAAAAACGAGACAAATTACAAAACAAGCGCTATCTGATCTGATTTGGGGTTGAGTCGTGTTTGCATCATTTCAGGATGTTTTGAAGTGTTTTTTAAATAAGAATACACATGATCATATTTTAAACAGCCTGCACATTGATTAATTTACTTCACTGTAGATTATTTCATTTTAGACAGAATGCATTAAGCAAACAAGCTAAAAATAGAAAAACATTCGCCACGTACGTCACGGGTCTTTTTATTTTTCATGCAGAACCGCAGGACAATACTAATAATGTAATTATCTCACATTGACATTTACAAAGCTCCTTTATGAGGAAAGGAAATGCAAATGTGCTTTGCAGAGAAGTTTTGCCGTTTGAAGAAAGAAAAGATTCCTTTTTCAGGATTGCTCGTATGTACATGCGCGCTGGTCTGCTTTGGGGCTCATTCCATTAATCAAAGCCGAACCTTTTACTTAAACCCCTCGGCGATAATCTGCATCAAAGCTTTTGGTTGTTGTTTCCTTCAGAGGACGGAGCATCGAAAGTGTTTCAACAGGAAAAAAAAAAAGAAAAAAAACTTAAATGTGAATTGACTACTTTGTTCATATTTGAACTTCTTATTTATGAGAGTTTCTTAAAGACTCGATCTTGAACTGTATTCATTTTGAGGTGTTGTCATTGTAAAGAGATACAAAGCATTTGATAAGGTATAATGTTTTTTTTTTTTTTTTAATTATGAAATTTTATATTTTGTATTTTTAGGATACTAACTTAATTTCTTAATTTTTTTTCTGTGTCGTCCAGATATTTTGTACCATTTAAGTCTATCAACAGCCTTAAGTATTCCTTCAGATGTTTTGGTGAATTGATAAGATTGTGCATAATAAAGATTAATGTTCAAAAGCTGCAGCTCAAGTTTTTGATGGTTTCTTTCACAGGAAGTGGTCAAGTATCTACACACACACACACACACACACACATGTTGCAGTGTTTCTTTTGTGTGATTGCAGTTTTGACTAAATCACACGCCCGAAATAAAAAAAAAACACTCAACGTGTGCAACGCTCCCGATGAGGGCGACCTGCTGCTCAGCCGTCCAGATCCGCCTGCAAACGATCATTAAGTCGTCAACCATCCCCGCAGCCCCACATGGACAAAAATATTCACCACAAAACTGACTTCAATCATTGTTTGAATTTGCGTTGCCAAAATTAAATTCCAGACAATGAATTTAAATCATAGAATTCAATCCATGACTTTTGTTTTTTAAACACTATATAATGACTTTTTAGAAGTACTCTACTGTGTTTCAATGACTTTTGACATGCTGACTTTTACTACTTTTTATACATGCTTCTATCTATATTACGACAATGACATATTTATACCACATATGCTATTCAATGTCTTATGATCTACTATACTAAGAACGTCAATTAGCGTATTTTTTATAACGATTGCTTGAGATTTTAGATTTTCAAACGTGCATACTAAAGTTATTTTTAACTTAAATCTGAGAAAAAACAATTGAACCGCTGGAGGTGAGCATTGAAAAGCAGGACACTTTATTGTGTGAGATGTTTTGAACTTAATAGAAATGAGTTCTTCCGAGTCTCCACTTTCAACCTGTGATGACAAAAACATCACCAACACGAGGTCGAATCCAATGACAGAGAACAACACAGATAACTTAATTCAACATTTAATCAAATAGGTGAAGATATCGACACTGACTACAGGAGAGGTGTATTACAGAAGTAAAACAAACTATTTTGTATTTTTTAAACAAACATTTTATATTCTCTGTTTGTTTTTACATTGGATTACGATTACATAACTGAAATACGAATAAAACAGAACAATGAAAGCCATAGCCATATGTACCAGTGAATTGTGATCTGCCCTTAATCTTTAAAGATAATATTTGCATGTATTTTATACAAAATAGACTTTATCCACCAGTATGAGGGTAGTGCAATTCCATCAGGCTCTGGTAGATTTACTTTTACGCGAGATTCAACCTTTTTTTTTTTTGTTACGTTTTCTATCTTAAAGTGACCGGTAAATCCTCACAGCAATATACACGGGATCCAAAGCCTGGACATTTACAAAATATACCTTTCAACAAAAGATGAAGTACTAGGAGTTGGATTACAAGTGCTACTTAAAATGTAACTGCTTGAATACTTCTTTTCGTTTGTTAAAATGTTTTTTTTTTCCTCTCCCCTGCTTTGGTCACTCTTCTATAACTCAAAAAAAACCCTCTTTCTGTCTCGCCGATCTTCCGTCCCGCCCTCTCCATCGTTTCCTCATAACTTTACAACACAGTGAGCGTTCATATTGACATTCCCATTGACTCGTAGAATTTACATGTACTTCACAAGACAAACAAGTTTAGCAGTTCCTAAATGTATTCAACACATCTACCTTCATCAAACACAAACCAACAGGAAAAAAAAAATATTTACTTTCTTGCCTCTGTCAATGTACAAAAAGGATTAGGTAAAATTATTAATATCAAAGTGGATCGAGGGGATTCATTTAAAATCGCAGAAATAAAATAAGTTTTATTTTCTAATCAATCTCCAAAAAGCATCGACATTTGTTAAGGGTTTATCTCTCTTCATTCGAAGTGGATGTCTATGGCTGTCTCGTCTCCTTACATGTCGTTGAAAGGTAAAAGAGAAAAAAAGTATATAGGTTACGTCCATGTAAAAATAGTTTGTAATAGTAGATACTGTTTACATTGCACTGGATATGTCGGCGCTGCTATATACACACCTATGGCCCTTTAGGATGAGCGTGGATATGGTTGCATCTAAACGTTAATGCTGGTTTTCTGAGGCACCGCCGCCTGAAAACAACTGTAATACTGTATGCAAAAGTCACCCAAACAAACAAGACAGTCGAATCCTCCCCGAAAGGATCAACATTGACGCGAAGGGCATCCAGCCTGTGTTCTTTCACAGCCAAACATGGTTAATGAAACCTTATTAGTCTGATTGACCGGCGGCTCGTGTCCGCCGGAGGACAGCCGTGCCCGTTAGCTGCGAGTGACGCGCAGATGACCAGTTTCCATGGCAACCTGCTACCTGGTCTCCAAACTGCCAATCAGAGGTATGCGCCGTGGAGGAGTACCATTCAGAGTAAACAGTTGAGAATCCGTGTGGTCAATAATCAAAGCGGTTACACTAGATAGAACCAAGCGGGCGGCGGAGGATTATTGTGTGTGTGCGCGCGTGTGTGTGTGTGTGTGTGTGTGTTGATGCCTTTTACTTTGGTCAACACATGAGCTGGTACAAACATGTTTTCCATTAGCTGACCACCAACCTTTGTTCGACAGCAGTAGATGTCACTGCTTACTTTGCCATTTCAAAAATACAATATTTTGTACACCTCCAAAAGCAAAGCCTCTTCTACACTTAACGCGGATGACAACAACGTGTACTTTTAAGCTGGTGTAAGTGTGACATTGAACTCACAAATGAGAACCCTCAAGCAAAATTACAAAAATCCCATGACAACTTTCACATCTGCAGGAAAAGACATATAAAACGTTGATTTCGCATTTGGCACTGGTGGAGCACATCGACCAGATGTAGTCACTCATTGTCTGAGCTTTGACTCACAAATTATTTGGACCAAAACTGCAATTTCTTCCAAAAATATTTCGACTTTAGAGGTGACAGCTTGTGCGACGAACAGAGGTTGTATAGATTACTGGTGTGTCCATTTTTATACCTCACATACAAAACAAACATGTATATATAATTACCTTGTCAGCCATATTTAGCTCAACAATTTAATAATAAATCACTGCCTGTTTGTGCAGGCAGTGATTGAGATAAAGGTATATTGAATTTAAATTAGTATTTAAAAAATCCTGCCAGTCTCATTACAACATCACCTTTAAATCTTTTTTATGTATATTTGACTTTACTATTATTTCTTGTGTGAGAACGGGCAGTCTGGCAAGGTCAATTCATGAAACCACGTTGTATAAAACCAATAACTGAACTAGAACTTCAGTACGACTGCAGCCGGCAACACGAGGACGGTTCTGACTTCAAGCTGGCCTGCTTGAATATTTATGGCTATTTACTATCACACACCCAAGCTTTGGAAGTTCTGTTCAAAGGCAATCTAGTTCTTTAAACCACACTTGTTTCATTGCACCTGAATGAATTGAAAAACACACATTTGATTTAAATTAAGCCATTCATGCAATATCTTAATCGTAATGTTAAAGTCCATCAGGTCTGCCTCTAATTATTAGAAAGCATCAGACATATTTAGTTTATTCCAGTGGTGTCCATTTAGCACCATTGCGGTTGCAGCTTGTCACAACCTCGTTTAAGTATTTGGATTTGTGTTCAACATTATGTTTGTTGACTTACTTTAACACTGGGATGCTGATTGGGTAAAAGACACACAAAATGTATTGGGGACCACGTTGACATTTGATTACTCTTTTTCTATGATTCTCAAACTTTTCACGATCCAAAACACGAAGATGTTAATATTTGTTAGGTATTCTTAAGCGGTACCATTGGCTGCCTTCCTTACATTCATGAGAGGGGAATAGAACCGAGAGAGCTGCTGTAAAAACACCCTAAAAACCACTGCTTGGAAAGAAAGTTGCCAGAAAGGAAAACAAAAACAGAAACTATTTTTTAGAGGTTAGTTTCATATGCAAAAAAAAAAAAAGAAACCACGGTTTAGAGAGGATGGCTATGAGGAGCTTTGAAAGCTAAAAGGCACTGTGTTTCCCTTGTCAGAATCCCTGTGTAAACATTATATTCAGTGGGTTTGTCTGTGAAAACTTGTGAAAAATGTGTGTGTAGGCTTGTGTAGGTGTGACTTTTGCATGTGTGGTCAGAAATGTGTGTCTGCATGAAAATAATTTTCCCCCTAGCTGTTTTTTTTTTTTTTTTTTTCTTTCTTCCGTTGGTCACGTGTGTGGATCGAATTCACGTCATTTCAGAGATGAAAAACGGACTCACAGCTGAAAATAGTTTGTCCTCATTGTTCTTGGCTCCAGTCCTCGTGTCAGAATATGTTTTTAAATATTTCACTGTTTTTCGGGTTGTCCCCTTCGTTGCCAAGCGTCTTCTGGAAACCACAATAAAGACAACTACATTCTCCGTGCAGCAGAGATGGGTGGGGTGGGGCGGACGGAGACGCGCTGGGCGGGTGAGCAGAGAGGTACAGTAGGCTTGAGTTTGGAGGGAGCTTCTGTAAGCTACTAATCCAGAGAGTTGGACAGTATATCGGGTGTCATGATGAGGGCGGAGAAGGTGTTTCTAGGTGTAATCCTCTCAGCAAACAGTAATAAAACACTGGAGGCAGGTGGCCACCAAAATAAACAGCATCAGAAACCTGAGGACGGACCCTGGACGAGGGACAAGAGGGGGAAATAGGCTTAAAAAAATAGATCCAGCAAAATACATCCCGTCCGCATGAGACATTCTGAGCCAAAATATTTCACCTAGCGTGGGGGGGCGGGGGGGGATTTCTTCTTGGTTACCCGAAAAAAAAAGACGGCCAACGGGTCGCTTGGTCGGATGTCCTGCCCTAGTTTGTCCCAATCTGGTACCAACTTTCTGGAGGCATGAAGAGGTATTGTGCTCCCAGATTAGGCTGAATGGCTGCGGCCGGCCGTGTGTGTGTGTGTGTGTGTCTGTGTGTGTGTGGCAGATTCTTAAAGGGGGCCTGGGAAAACGAAGCAGTTGAATCGTAGTGATGAGGGAGGCAGGACGGGCCAAAGGCTCGGGGGGCAACAGCTGGGGGCGGGGGCGGGGTATTAAGGCATTGCTTCACAGTTTAAGGCAGTCACTTCTGATGAAACAGCAGAGGCTTGACGCTCCCGTCTTTGAATTTTGGTATCTGGTTGCTGATGATCTCCGCCAGCATCTCCGGGAATTCCACACTGAGGGTTTTATTCACAAAGGTGTAGAAACAGATCTGCAGAAGACCCTCGACCATCTGCGGGAGAATATTAGAACATTTCTTTTAGTTTGGATTCTGCAGGAATGCACTAGGGTTTTATTTGCTTTCAGATGTACAACATTTAGCAAATCCTTTGCACAAAAAGAGGATGTACATTAAGCATGCGGCGGCGTCGTGCATCGGGGTGTTTATGTGTTTCTCTCACCTCCTGCATGGAGTCCAGTAGCTTAGTTAGCTGGTAGAAACGCTGCCAGTTCTGACTAGCGTTCTCCTCTCTCTTGACGATGGCTTTTCCAAGCTCCTTGATGTACGTCATCCTGATCTCGTCAAACACCGCCTGGCTTTTCAGGCCGTCTTTTGGTACTGCGCACACGCACCAAGACAAAACACATTCAATTGACAAGAAATCATGGATACTGTTACTTTGGTACCCCGTCTAAGAGAAGATTCAGATAAATGCAAAGTGTGAGAAGATAGTGACGCGAATGGAGTCTTATGTTTGGTATTTACTTTTATGAGACTTCAATTCCATGGAATCCAATTTATATAAAAGTCTGTTGTTTATCGTGTTGTATCCTGGATCAACTGAGCGTGTGGCACTCCAACAATGACCCCCCACAGACACTGGTTAAACATATGTAAGCAAATACCCCCTGACCACGATGTCGGGAGCAGTGGAAAATATGCAAAACTAAAAGGTCAGTAGGTGCTGTGTAGTGTGCCCTGTAACTGGTGTGGGCTGGATGAGAATCTAACAGGTGGTTTGATCCACGTTCCATGAAAACCACAAACTCTTCATGTGCAAACACACATATTGTGATCGGGCCGGTAGAACCGCTTTAAAAAAACTGCCCGATTCACACGGCTGCCATGGCCCATATAAGGATGTTGTTGTTTTTTTTAACGTCACAGGAATATTACACAGTATATATAAGAGACTCCACTTCCGCGTATGAGAAACGATGGAAGCAGCTCAGATCAGTTGTCCTGACATGTCAGTGTTTCTGGTCCTCGGCGGGGGAACAAATGGAAATGAAAGAATGTGTATGGAAATGTCATTTCCTCTGCGTAACCAGCATGTCGCCCCCAAAGTGCACCCTAACCCCCTAACGTACTCTGCTGAGACTTTTCTTTACATAACGGGGGCAGACGTTTGATTTAGTAATATGCTTATCATGCTGTGTACAGTCTTGCCTGGATATTTTGAAAAAGGCTGAGCTGAACCGATTTGATAACTCTTATCTGACCTCCGCAGAACGTAAGAGCGTTGAGGACTGCTGAACATTTGGCCTAGGAAAAAACAACTTAAGTACCTTCCACAGAGCATTTGATATATTTCTGAAACTGAAGCAAAAATATACTTTCACTGTCTTGAGGGAAGCTTAGGAAACTAGGTGGAGCATACTGTTGTTACAGAAAGTGATAGAGATAATCACCATGTATACTAAATAAGTGTTAAATCGACTTTCTGCATCCGTAGATCAAAACCCTCTGATTATCCGAGAGGACAACATGCTATTGTTGGCTTTGGAACTCTTCGGAGCATCGTCACTCGGCGATTCGACCATCCAAGGCTGCGCCATATCTGCAGTACGAGGCTCGTCGACGCCGCGCAACCTTTACATCCACTACGCTGTTAATTCAACCTGACAGATCCCCCCGCTGTGATGAAGAAAACCCGCCGGGCGTCTTTCCTTACCTGTGCTCAGCAGTAAGAGGACCTTCATGCACAGATACTCGTCGTAGGACACCTGCAGTCGGACGAACTCGTTGCAGATGGTAAGCATCTGCTCGCACTGGTCGGTCATGAAGGGCAGCTTCATTCGCTCCCTGAACGGAGGAGAGAAAGGGCGAGGGGGGGAGAGGTGTAGAAGGGGTGTAGTCCAGAGGGGGGAATGAATGGAGATAAATAAGAGATTAGACTTCCTGCTCGCTCACTCATACAGTTATTCCATTGAGAATAAACGACCCCGGCAGGGAAGCACCACAGAAGCAGACTGTCCCGATGGATTTCACACCTCGCCTTACTTTCTACCTCCTAAATCAATGAAGCTCCTGATACAGAGTCCTCTACTCGTTTTGACCATCTGCAGTGTTACTGGCGACGACCTCTCCACGTTTTTTGATCTATTTATAGCCCCCCCCTCTGATTCCATGTGTCCTTTGAGGGCGATTCTTCCATGGAAGCATTCTACAGATTACATTGGGATTGAAATGTAACCTCACTAAATGTTTTCCATTTCCTGCTAATAACTGGGGCAACATTTTAATACAAATTCAATAATGAAATTTCATAATATAAATATAACAGAATTAAGCTTTTAGGTATAATAATATAAAATAATGTGATTTGATAATATAATAACTTTTCAATTTCAGTCGGACACAATGCTTTTCCATTTTCACATTTCAATTAACATGAATTTTTTCAACCATAGAGCAGGGTTTGTCTGCTAAACGGCTTTTATATTTTATATTATATCTTCAAAAAAACATGTTAACCTTCCTCAAAGTGATGGTACTGTATCACATCTGTGTCACACCTAGAATAAAGCTGAAAATAACTATTCTATCCTTGTTACATTAAATCATCAATTTCACCATCCCACATTCATTTTTTAACATATAACAATAAGTAAAAGCCAAGGAGATGTGAAGAGCTGTGATTATTGGCAAAGATCATTAATAAAATGGGATAATTTCTCTCCTCCCCAAGTATTTAAAATCTGACCTCCGAGAGCTAGAAACTGCTGGAAGAACAGACATGAAAACGAGAGCTGAGCCTCGGCTTTTTCCCGTTTCCTCCGGGGACCACAGAGACTGTGGCAAGCACGAATATTTCAAAGCACAATCAATTTCTGCTCTTAGTGATTTTTTTTTTTGTTAGGTAAATGTGTCTTTGTAATTGTGTGTGGAATTAATTATACCTGAGCCGTCTCTCTGCGGCTTCGAGGCAGCACAGAATGTTATTTACTCCCGGGTCCTTTATGTGATTGGTGCGTTCTCTTGTGCCTGCGTGAGGAACGTGCTTTCCTAGTTGTGCTTTTCAGCGCGTTACAAAATTTGAGGGAGTGACCGCTTTACGCACTTGTTGATGACAAGATCCGGGGCGAAGCAGAGCATGCTGCCGTTGCACTGATCATAAGACCTCCAGCCAAGACTGAAGGACATGAGGAACAGCCAGGAGCACTGCAGCAGAGTCATCTGGTCGTCCAGGTGCAGGTTGCGGAAACCTAGGAGAGTCAGACATTTAGTGGCTCTTTAAATATTGTTGTTTTTTGTTAAAAACATGCAAGATGATATATATTTTTTAATCTGTTTTTGCAACTTGGAAAAAATGATTTCTTGTTTCATGAGCACTATTGCAGCCACTAATTCTGTCTGTATTATTAAAAAAAGCATAAATGAGTAGATTTCGAATACATACAGAAACGTGAACGAGGTTCATAAGTAATTACATCATTAAAAACACAATTACAAAGGTAGCTCTTAAAAGTGAAATAGTTAAACCGATGTCCCAATGTACACACCGAGAGATTACAGGAAAAAAAGAGGGAGACATCTAATGTGTGACCAGGTTTAATTTCCTGGCAAATACTTGGAGAGATTATCAGGTCATGAGCCTTTGTTCTCATGAAACATGTGTGTTAAAATCCATTTTTGTTTCTGTGGGAATGGAGCTGGGCAGTATTCAAACGTCAAAACGGATTTTACTTAAACTGTCTTTTCTTTCAAAAGCCATTATAATAATCCTTCTGTATCTGTAATTACAGATTCAGTCAATACAGATGCTCATTGGATGGTTGCTCAGTTAGTCTTTGGCTCCACCCCCAAGAGGAATCATGTCCTCAACAGGCAGCGACCGTCTCACCAACTATCCTCTTGTGTACCAACGTAAGTCATACAAGAAGAATCGGGTTTCAATAGATTATAGCAGAGTTGAATACATCCACTATTGAGATGAGCTTGCTTGATTACCGGAGGCCGTGCTAAAGTGCCAAAAGTGCCAAAAGTGACTCCCTCTACCAGCTGCATGTATTAAACGTTACGAATGACTTCATTTTCCATCGGTGACTTGGCCCACTTCACTACGCATTAGTCGCAACGCCGCGCGGGGAATAGTGACACACTTCGCTTGAGCGCTGATGTTCAGCGAAAACCAAATCCGAAAGCGAGACGCGGCGAGGTGCCTTTTCATTACCTGGCAGCGACTTGGCCCACTTCACCGCTGAGATGACCTGCTGCCCCCCCAGCCTGTTGAGAGTGGTCATGAGCCGCGAGGAGGTGTCGGGCAGGGTGCTGTCATAGCCCGAGTAGATGACCTCTGGCTCGATGGCCTTGAGCACCGACAGCATTGTGGGCACGAGTTGGGGCATGGGCCGGGGGATGACCGGGACGGGCATGACGGGGACTTTCATCTTGGTCAGCTTCTTGTTTTTCCTCGCTGTGGTGAAGAGCGAAGGAAGAAAAGGAGAAGAAAAGTGAACTTTTGAGAAGTGAGTTACTCAAACAGACTCTACTTGGAAAAGAAAATACCCAACAAAAACTAGCCTGTAGTTCTGCAAACAATTATGAATCGCAGCCGCAAGTGATGTCAAATGTCCTGTAGTATATAGAGCAGTTGCTGTCTATTCTCTGTCAGTAAATGAAATTGTGTTGCGTGTGAGAACCACAACCACAAAATCAAGAATCATCACTGAACATTAGTGAAAGAAGGACAACCTACAGCTAATGGCTGACCCCCAACATGAACACACTTTGCTTTTCCCATCGGCAGACTCCACGTGTGGACGTATTACCGCACACAACAACATGTAGAATAGTCGGGGCTACTTGTTGTTTGCTCTGAAAACCTAAATTGATCAAATGAAAGTGGTTTTACATTATCAGAACAGTAAGTCTACACTGTGACCAACCTTTGGATCGTTTTGACATTTTCTCCCACTAAATGTGCAAAACATGCACGGGGTGGAGAGGCTACGAAAAAAAACAACATGTTTTTTTCCCCCTCCTCTCTACCTCTGTTTAATTTCCTCTCCTGGCGTTTCTATGGCAACTAAGAGCCTTTCCTGTGGGAGTCTGTCTGCTGATGCATTGACGTCCATCAAATCTTCCTCCCCGTCTTTCTGGCTCTCCCTACACGGAGCTACTTTCACCTCCATCTGACAAACACGCAGTACGTACAGGTCATCTCATTCAACACCGACAGCAAGGCAATCCCAGAGGAAGCCTAATGTGACTTGATTTTCCCGTTAAACTTGTACTCCCTCTAATGCCCATCAGGGGACGACTCCTCTGTGCAGAAGTCTACTTCTCACCGCATGTATGACCTCAGTAAACATTGTGACTATCGGTTTATAGTTACAATCACTAATCGCACGTCTTATTCGGAACAGCATAGTGTCCATTTAGTAAATAATGAAGCTGGTTTGAGTAAAATAGACAGTAAAGAAGATAAGAGATAAGATAATCCTTTATTAGTTCTGAAGGAGGGAAATAAGTACACTCCTCCCATAGTAGGAGGAGGAGGCCTTCATTTTCAAATCCTCATTAGGTGTGTGTCGGCTGGCAGTCCTCTACAGCTCTACATTGCATTCTGTACCTACTAAGCAAACATCTACAGTATTGAATCAAATCCCTGTTGTAACCATACCCTGCCAACACAATATCTCCCAAACTCCAAGTGTTTTAGAAAAGCCTGGAGTGATTTGAAGATGGTTTCAGGCGTTTTACCTTCCAAGTTCATCCCGGCTTTAAGACATTTCCTGAAGCGGCAGGCGGGGCAGTTCTTCCTGCGGATCTTATCAATGATGCAGTCATTCCTCCCTGCACACAGGTAGTTGTGCTGACCTGTAAAAGAGGAGCGGGACAATGAGAGAAGGTGGAAAAAGGGAGACATATTAGGTAGCTAAGGAGGTGTGAGAAGGATTAGCCTGATTAGCCTGGCCTGTATGTATATTATTACCACACTAACCGCCTGCTGAATCTACAGTAGAACATCATCTGCACTTCCTCCTCTCACTCTGTATGCTGCCGTACATGGTTTGGATGCATTGGATTAAGGTTACTTTATTAGAATAGATGTCAATGACCGTAATAGTTGAGGATAAAGGACAAAGCTGCCGATTCGCTCCATTTCTGTCGTTGGAGACGAATGTGATGAAAAAGAGCAGTTTTGTTACTACTGAACATGCAGCTGAGTAACATGTTACAAAAAAAGATACAAAACATAGAAAAAGGGGGCTGAATGTTCTTCGAGATACCGTTGGTAAGTATCTAGTTATAAAAGTTGACAAGTTGAAAGATAAAGGCGGGCTGGCTGCACTGCCACCGGCTCTCTGAGCATCTCTCCAGTTACTGCAGAGGACCTGCAGAAAGACTCGGGGGCAGCAGGAAGCAGGGTTTCAGTTTCGACGGCAAGCTGAGTACTAACCGCTGATGGCCTCCATAACCGAACTCCAAGTGGAACAGTGACCCAAAAAGCACAAGACGAGTCAGCTCCAGTGTGCTCAGGACTGACACATCCGAATTGTAACAGATTGAGTTCATTATGGGATGTAACATAATGGCAAGTATGCCATGGTCATCTTTCTAAGTTTCACTTTGTAAGTAATTCCATGAAATGAAACTGCCACTGAAAATCTAGAACCTCCTCATATGTGCCAGATGAGTCACCGACCAAGATGTTCACAAGTGCGGCTGACTTTACAGTCGAAAAACAGACTGCAGCGTTCTTTTTTTTTTTTTTTTTTAGAACATTCTTTTTTTCTTTTTACCATTGGATTCCAAAATGTTAGATGTGGGTCTGAGAGGACGCCCCGGGAGGCAGCGAAGACACTATGCAGGGCGCCGAAGGGCAGAGGAAGCGGTGAGATGCAACCACAAAAAAGATCCAACGCAGGATAGGTTTAAGAGGGGTTTCTCACTCTTTGATACCCGAATTAAGAGGCAATCTGCATTGCCTCTATGTATGTGAACTACGCGGAAATACACCGTCACAGTGCAACACTCTTTACATACGCGACCCGTTCTTCCACTGAAAAAACAATGAGTTCAAGATCTTATTAAAGACAATATGCCGCATGACTAGATGACTAAATGAGTTTCCTGTGTTTGTCAATTGCTGTAGGTGCGGGGAATTGAGGTGAAACGTCCACTCGTTATTTATTTCTGGTGGAACAGCATTACTCATTATCGAGCAGATCTCCACAGCTCTCACATTGAGATCCAATAAATAATGCCATGGAAACCGCACAAGGTGTCCTCAGATAACTGTGAAATTTGTTGCTGTTGTATTCTCAATTGATGCAGAGATCTTCATAGTGGACAATGCATGTTTGATTTCCTTGCCTCTGCCACTTTCCAGCTGCACTTTATTTACTGTAAATACAGACTGAGAAAATCACCGGCTGGAACGAGATCATGGCCTTGCCAAAATGCCCTTTGGGCCCATAAAAAGTGCTACTGGTCTTTGAAATAGAACTTGTTTGATGCAGCTTTTTGAACTAAAGGGCATTCAATATGGCTGCTGGCACTATATAATAGGATGTCAAATAATAGACTTAGAGTTATTGGTATTCCTGCATCACTTCATCCTAGATAGACCCAATGACGGCCGTCACGGCCAGCGAGGCCATAAACATCATAACAACATACATTTCAGTTTGATGATATTTTTCTTTTTGAAGATTGCTTTTTTTTGTGTTACATAATTATCTGCAATGTAGTAGAGCATTTGTGATACTTTAATTGGTGTGCATTAAATCATACTGGAATGTTTGCTGAAATTGATTGGATGACCCTACCAAAGAGAATTTGCCACCAGCCTCCACAGACTGACGGAGGCAAATTAACTCCAAAAAGAAAGGCCTCCAACTAAGGTCCAGGTTTGTGTCTCTCACGATCTTCCATTGCATTAAGGTTAAGGACTACAGTTCTATTCAATGTTAGACTCATAACGCTGGCAGTCAGAGCCGCCGTCTGAACATTCCCCACGTGGAAATCTTTCTAAAAGTGAACTCATAATCTATTTCCATTATCATGCAGGGTTTTGCATGACCCCGCCTGACTCCTGTTTGCTTACAAGTGAGTGAACACTGGGCCTAATACAGCAGACTAAACGCATGTACCTTGAACACCAGCAAACACTGAATCTGGGACATCAAGCAAATGATTAGCTCAACTTAATGATGCTTCAGAGCAGCAGCACCCTGCGATGTCGGTGGCGGCAGCGAAATAAATTCTGCAAACGTCTCCCGACATTAATAAAACCCCAGAAATAATTAACTTAAAAAAAAAACATACAAATGATCTTATTTCTAATGGACTGGAAATTATTCTGCGGGGCCGGCGGTGTGATAACGAGACAGCAGTCCCCGATACCACAGAAAAAGAAAAAAGCCATCTGTGGTGTCGAAAGTGGCAGCTGAATGACGCAGATACCCGCGCACCCTTATCCCGTCCCGCTCGGTTAATAAGCGCCAGGCAGCAACTGCCAGAACTCGTTGGTGAACCTCTGGCTGGCTCGTAGCCAACTCTAGCGCGCAGGGCTGCAACTGGTGTCTGCTCAGTGGGCCGGCGGTAATCCCCGTCGACTCGCAGCGAGCAGATGCCATTTGAACCTGTCCGGTTCATTAGTGGTTAAAGGCAAATGTACATAAAAGCGCGCTTTTACGAATGCAACAAAGCCTGTATGTGTATTTGTTAATTGTTGTGTTAGGCAGTTACTAAAATGTGTCCTGGCAGTACCTCTGATGTGCAGAAGGGGGGAAGGTGCCCATTCATCGCTGCTTGGACCTTTGATTTGTTGGGTGTTGAATGTTGTAATTGTTAAATCATCCTTTCTTTCATCACACTACTTTCTAAATAATTACAAAAACACTTAAAAAACGACTGGATTCTCTGAAAAATGACCCTGTGAATTTGACATTTTGGAGATATATTGTTTCACAAGACTATTGTGTTATGTTATTATCAGCTACAATTGTCATTTTAAGGTGGTTTTTGACATCAGATGTTATGGGGTTTATGAAGGTCAAGGGAAAATAAAAGGCCTAAATAGAAATAGATTGTGATTGAGATTGTGTGAATACTATATTCCCCACCTGCGAGGATCATTGGGTGGAACATTCCAAGCAGAAATTGAACAGCACAAAATCACTCGCAGGCAATTTACACTGACTTGAATTACCAAATCATTACTTGCATGCATTAACAGATAGTTGGCAAGGGGCTATGCGTCTCTCTGAGCAGATTGCTCATATGTCAGTGCTGAAGAAATGCAGGGAAATGGGTTATGGGAAAATCAAGTATTTCCATCATTATCATCATCATCATCAGCATTATTTTTTATACTTATTACTTTATATGTTGAAAGTGCATTTATTTACCATCTGTGTTTTGTCGTGCTCTCCATCCTTCACCATAGACACAACGATCGGAGAATGGAGAGGGGGGGGGGGGGAGAAAAAACAAAAATAACAGATATAACTTTCTCAATAGTACTGCAGGTAGCTCTTTTCAAAATAAAACTTCCAATTGAACGCTTGGCATTTTAGTCAGTCATGAAAGTTGTTATATAGTCAACGGCTAATTAGGAGTGATAAAATCCTGTGCATTTAGTACCAGTGTTTGTTTGGTCAGTGATGCATCGGGACACGTTGATGTAATAGTTAATTAATGCAATAATCCATTGGAAGAAAACAGCTTCAGAACGACAGGAAATGGAGAAACCGAAGGGGAGAGAGGCAATGGGAAATGGAATGCATTGCACAAATACATTGACATAAATTCCTTTCGGTTTGTCAGATGCATTGCTGCAACACTGTGTTAAAGTGTGTTGTCGGGGGAGGATTGTTGAGCTGCACATAGTGAGTTTCTCAGTAGCGATATGTTTGAAATAGGACTAAGGCTCAATTCCCCCCAAAAAATAAACCATAAGTGGATCTACTAAGGCCAAACAGCCAAGTATTAACAGTTTATGGTGCCTGGAAAAATGAAGCAGCGGTGGTGCTGCATTGCTGTTGAACAGCTTCAAGTGTTGAATATATGAAACTCAAACTCAAATGAGAGTGTGGGACAAAAATGTACAAAGGTAACGGGTGTTAAACGTTGCTCTTAGGTGCACATGTACAGGTTTGTGGCTGCATAGTATAGAAAACACAAAAACATGAAACTGCAAATGTGAGCCTGGTGTAGATGGGGGCACAACTCATCGGTTGAAGGGATGAGTTCATTTGATCTAGTCTGAATTTCACACATTGGTTCAAAACAAACATGTTTCCAATGACGTCACTTTTAAATGATATATACTTTTGTTCATTTGAGTGAATACGATCATTCAAATGTTCAGCATCTTTTTTTTAGCACATGTCTGACTGATGCAGGTAGGCATGTGTGTGTGAGACGAACCTTCCACGGCCCTCTTGAAGAACACCTTGCAGCTGCCGCAGGTTACAACACCGTAGTGGCATCCCGAGGCCTCGTCTGAACACACCAAACAGATCTTGTGCGTCTGCCCACTGGGCTTTGATTGGCCCGCCCCTGCAGAACCGACCGTCTCCCCAGCTCTCGGTGATGAGCTGAAATGCGCACGGAGAGAAAAAGTGTTGGAGAGGGAGAGAAAGGGGGAGAGATTTGTAACAAGGAGTGAGCTGCAAAGATGTTTGTTATAAATCCAAAGCAGGCTGCTGAGAGCTGGTTTATCTGCAGCCTCCATGGTATGTTCTGTGTTGCTAAGAAACATGAAAACCCTGTAGACTAATCCAGTAGACTACGGGAAATATGTCAACTAAAAACAGATTCATGTTGAGACTGTGCTGCTTTTTCCCTGATCACCGTTTTCTTCTTAGGGCAATCTGGACAAGGGCTGGATTATTAAGAATGATAGAGGTCATTCCAAAAGTATTAAACTTTTGTTTAATGGTTCCTAAAAAATCAAACAGGCAAATAAACAGGCTCTGAGAAGCATTAATGTATATATGGCTGGGAGGGTCGTCTTTTTTTTGAAGCTCTCTTACTTGAACCTGATATATTTGATTTTCTTCATCTGGATGTGCTAACTGATCTGTAAGCAAATAAGTCAAACCCGATAAAGCCTATGAAGAGCTCTCTTGTGCAACAAGACTCTAAATCTCACGGAAATACACATTTGAGCCTTGTTTTAATCTTGGCTACCCTCACACATAGTTGTTCTTATTCTCAACTGTTTATAATTAGGCTTTTAAGAAACTGAGACCAATGAACGGCAAAGGGCTAGCATGAGCAAGCGTGAGCTAGCCTGAGCTAGCGTGAGCTTGCGTAAGCACTGAGTGTTTGAAAGAGTTACTGGGTTTATGGTGAAGCCAAAGAGGCTCCAAACTAGTTTTGGCAGATTAGGCAGACACTGCAATCATAACAGGAATTCAACAGCGTTAGAAGGGCTTAATACTTTTCTCCCTTGTTTGTCTTGGCTGCACGGTCACTGCAATGTACGTTAGCATCACGTTACAGGCAGGTCGCAGAGCTTAATAATTACTTTGCCTTTTGGCCTGTAGCTATCTGGGTGCTGATTCTGCATCGTGACGCTCAAAGTGTTGTTCATAACCGCGTTCTGTGCACGACGGTAAAGTTACAGAGCGTGTTTGCCACGCGGGAGGGAAGAGTAAATGGCACTTGAGCGCCTCAAAGGCCTGTAGCCATACCCGCCTATCTTTCCAAAGCATGACCCACATTCACAGCAGCCGGAGCTTCGTGGTCAGCAGAAAGACGACGCTTATGTAATTTGGAGTGCAACCAAGTGGGAGTAGAGGTGGTGCGCATTGGAGGACTTCCAGCTAAGAATTTTGTAGCTCTGGCTTAACACTGAAGTAGCCAAGATCATTGGCAACAGTCGGATCGGTCCAAATAGTGGCGGGATTCAGAAAGCGATGCCAGATTGCCCTTTTGGCAGTCATCCGTCACACTGTTTTGTAAATATCTTAAAGGGTTGCTTTTGTATTCTTACCGTTGAGCCCATTGTCCCATGTTTTTGTGTCCGAGTGACTAATAGGGACAGTATTGAGTGGCCAAAACAAGCTCAAATGGCCATTTTGGAAGGAACCTGAGGAACTAGTTCAACTAGAGTCCGAAATCTCTCTTTTTTAGGGTTTTATGAAATCTTTTCAATAGTTAAAAAGATTTGATAAAACCCTATGATTATGCTTTCTGTACCTCAACAATGCCAACTGAAAGCCTCGGCTCTCCTAACGTCTCAAGTTTCCAGCTGTGTTTCCCAGAATAAGAACCAGATAAAGCAGGAGGTACAGAAAGACATTTTATTTCCTTGAAAGGTCCTTAAGGTGGTTGTAATAACCCTCTGTGCCTGTTAACGGCTAAAACAAGCACTTACGGTGGACATTGATGGTGCAGAATTGCCAAGCGCAATTACATTCAGCCCAACATTCTCACTCATTAGCGGGCCAATTTTCAAAAATTGAAGGATTTATTACTCCCACAGACAGAAATAAATGGGAAAGGATCAAAATAGTGTAGAAATAAAAAAGTTATTATCTGAATGTGGATTTGCGTAGAGGCAAAACACATTCAGTTCCACAGAGACTAGGGGGAGAAAATAACCACATTTGTTCTTTTGCAAAAATGACACTTTCCTTTGAGAAGAAAAACATTTAAAAAATCAGATTTATTCAGACATGGAGCTGGAAGGCTTCATAATGGATCCATTAATTATCAAATCAATCTCAAATAAACTCTAAACTCTGACCTACAGTTGACCCCGAAATTTAAACCTCATCGCCCATACATCAACGCCCGCAGTAACCGCACTGCTCGACACAGAAACATCTTTACTCAGATTCATTCTGATCCGTACACACTGCGGGTCGACCGCATCTGCAACACTAGCCCTCTACAGACCTTCGGCTGATGGCTGCCTAATGGTTTAAAGGCAGCAGTACAGTATTTATAGAAACCGCTCACATGGAACCCCCCCTACGAGGTCTATGGTGTACTGCACATTACTCGGCAACTTGAAGCCGCTACAGCTGGCTTGGAGGGAAGATGCGGTGCACACTAATTACGGGGAAGTGCTTGTCCGGCGACGGCTCATATGGGATTGCTCAGCCACCGGAAAGAAAGAAAGAAAGAACGGCCAGTGAAGCGAGAGATCACATGACACCAACCAACCGAGTGCAGCGTGTTCAGGCATTTAAACAGACGTGGCTCTGCAGTTTTTGAGATCATTAGAATTTGTATTGATGACATCTGCACTGTCATTTTTAATCTACAGTTTATTTGCATGTTTAGTTTGTTTTAATGGTGCGTCTGTGGCTGTGTTTTAACCATCTTGTGGGTACATACATACATTTGCACAGTCCCTATAATGCAAGTATTAAGGCAGCGTAAGGGTCAGGATATACATAAATCAATGTAATGTGCCCAAAAGCGCTGAAAACACAGACGTGTGTGTGTCACTGTAAAGTAAAAAGGAGAATACTTAAAATAAATCTGATCATGCTGAACAGTGTTTTAGCTCTCAGGCATAACACCAATCACTCCGCTGGCTATTTTACTTCTACCTACAAACACCTCTTCCTGTGTGTGAACACAGGAACACACAGTATGTGTCAACACTAAGAGAATTTGCAGAAATGTCAGGAGGCCAACAAGAGAGAAGCAACAAAAAAGTAATCCTGCTACTCAGTGCAGCACAATCCTCTCTACCTCCATGCAAACTGTTTTTCTAAAGTGTACAACGTACAACCAATTCGGACATAACCCTTTCTCCCCAAACAAGTCCAAATCCGGCAGTTTCTCCATTCGTTCTTTTCACTTTACTTAAATGGATCAGAGGAGCTTCCAACTGTTCACTTCATTAAGACAATTTTACATGGTGAGGAAGTGGAATAGCGTAAATGGCAGCACACAGAGAAGAGAGAGGGCCTGTTGGCCGGAGACGGTCTGAACTGGGAGGAGCTGCTGTTTCACTGGGGAGTCGTATCCCAGTGACTACAGTGGGAGCCAATGAGAGGTTGTTTTTTTCCGTCGCGATAAAAGCTTTTTTTGGGCCAACAAGTGGGAGCAGAATATGGGAAAATTCATAGAGCCGAGGCTTGACCCGAGTAGGAAATTGACTAACTTGGCCAAACATGTTATAGTGGACATTTGGGAAAACCAATGTAACCACTGTGGTTTCTAACTTGCTTTTATTGATGTATCACATATCACCATTGAAGAAAAAATATATATTTTAATGTCAGAGACACATAATAAAATCTATTTCATTTTTTCTAATCGAGTTTTGCAACACTCGTGTCAACGGTTATGATTTCATGTTAGTTATAGTTGAATATTTATTTTTACATCTTGTTATAGGGAATCTTGGAGGATAATCCACAGCCTGCGTGCTATTGCTATTCTATCATAATGATAATGCTGTCATGTAAACCATGTGTGAAACAGGACGATACTCAAAAGATTGCAAAAGATTGCAAAATGAAATGTTTTATATTAACTAAATGCTGTACGATTATTTTGCAATACTGTGTAGCCCTATTGCATCACAAACCCAAAACGTTAAGAAAAGCCGCTCTTTGCCATATGAATCTGTATTGTGCATTTCCCTGCCTTTCCCTACTTTCACTTCTCCTCTCTCACATCCGTCTCTCGCACCAACGCCCTCGTCCTCTCTTGTAGCTCCTTCCCCCTGTTCCTCCTTCCTCTTCCCCTCACCCCCCTTCATCTGCCAAGGTTATGTAATATTCGTATTATTATAGTCCACTCCCCCGCCCCTCCTCTGCCCCCCCCCGCCCCCGTTGCACTCGACCCGTCAGCCAATCGAATGTCACGACTGGCAGGAAGTATGGAGGAATTCAGGCGAGTCATGGGATTATCCAACTCACCTACCCAGAGACAAGCGTGCACAGCGTACGTGTGTGTTATCGGTGTGTATCAACGATAGAAAGCGCGCGCGCGTGTGTGTGTGTGTGTGTGTTAATTTGCTCTTTGAATCAGTGAGTGGAGCCTTTCTTTGCTAGAGAGGAGCAGAGTTATAAAGCTACCCTTGTTTCCGAAATCGTCATGTGATTTTGTGATGGCTTCCCGTTTTCTTCTCTCCTTTTCTCCTGCTAAACTCCACCAAGAACCTCAATCCCATCTGCCTACATCTCCCTCGAAGGGCAGTCACTCCAATCATGTCAGTTTCTGGTTGTCAGGTGATGTCTGAGGTCAATTGGGATTGTTGCCCGTGAGAAACAACAGAGTGCACAAGATCATTTAGTATTAATTTGTATTTATAATGCAAATGTTCTGAACAGCTGAACAGCTTTTTCACCAAGCTGAAAGACAACTGTGCAGGTGTGAGTGGAGGTGAAGAGTGAATGCTCAAATAGGGTCCAATTCAGCCGACACTCACAAAGTGAGGGTTTGTGTCATCCCAGTTATCACCTCGATCTGTTCACATTTCATATTGCACCGCTCTCTGTCCGTCCATGTTATTTGTGTTTTTATAGCACGCAGCCACATATGCTCATAGAGAATCATTAGCAAACATGTCATTAACTACAGTTTCCACTGCGAACCAGAGAACGCGCAATTCAGATTGTAA